AAGTGTGAATAGTCTCCATGTTAGTCCTACATTTTCCTGTTACGTGTCCTGGCTTTTATTTATTAATATTTAGAACTAGCATAAAGTTGTTTGGGGGTAAATAAGATTTCGGCACTGAGTGGTAGTAGATGTTCAAAACAGAGAGAAAAAATGCAGGAGAGAGGCATCTGCTCATTATTACTCTTGCAGGGCACCTGGGCAAATGTCACTGCCCACGTCGTTTTCCTTCTACTCTTGGTCCATCAGTTCTAGATTTCCTCATTATAGGATTCTAGAATCTTGGAGGAGGATGGGCCACCCCTGTCATCCTGTCCTGCCCTTCTACCCAGCTCAGAGACTCTTCCCAGAATACCTCTAACTTCCTGGCCTCTCCTTCAGCACCTCCAGAAATGTGGAGCTCAGTACTTTTGCCTGAAATACTTTCCCCCTTTCTCTGCCTGCAGCACTTCTACTCATCATTCAATATTCAAATCAGGTGCTCAGTTTCTCAGGCCCATGTGGCACAGTCATTGGTGCTTCTGAGTGTGGACTCTGGGGTCAGAAAGACCTGGGTTCAATCCTGCCTCTTCTCCTAACACTTGCTGTGTGATCTTAGCCAGTTTATCTCACCTCTCTGAGCCTCGGTTTTCTTACCTGTAAAATGGGGTTCACAGATGTGGTCATGTGTATGGGCTCTTCATGTGGTGTCCAGTACGTAGCAAGCAAGTAATAAATGGTAACTGCTACCACTAACATCAGTGGTTTCAACGTTGACCTGCAGATTAAAATCACCTGCAGAGCTTTTAAAACATGATTTAATAGGTCTGGGCTGATGCTCCTAGCAAAGTTTGCATTGTTTGAAAGTTGCCTAAGTGATTCTAATGTGTAGCCTGCCAGGTGGGGAACTGTTACACCAGCAGTTTTGAAAGTATGGTACCTGGACCAACAGCACCAGGGAAACTGTTAGAAACTCAAATTCCAGGGCCCCCTAGCAGACCTACCAAATGAGAAACTCTGCAAGTGAGCCCCAGCAATCTGGGTTTTAACAAGCCTCCCAGGAGATTCTGAGGCATGCTAACATTTGTGAACCACTGCACTAGATTGTAAGCTAAGTAAAGGCAAGAACCGTTTGTCTTGTTCAATGCCGTACATATTCTTAGGGCTTGACACTGTGCCATACGCAAATTCAGTTTAGTTCAACCAAGAAATGTTGGGACTTCCCTGGAGGTCCAGTGGTTACGACTCCATGCTTCCACAGAAGGGGCCTGGGTTCAATCTCTGGTTGGGGAATTAAGATCCTGCAAGCTGCATGGTGCGGGCAAAAAAAAAAAAAAGAAAGAAAAAAAAAAGAGAGCTTCCCTGTTGGCGCAGTGGTTAAGAATCCACCTGCCAATGCAGGAGACACGGGTTTGAGCCCTGGTACGGGAAGATCCCACATGCCGCGGAGCAACTAAGCCCGTGTGCCACAACTATTGAGCCTGTGCTCTAGAGCCCGTGAGCCACAACTACTGAGGCCACGTGCCACAACTACTGAAGCCCGCACACCTAGAGCCTGTGCTCCATGACCAGAGAAGCCATCGCAATGAGAAGCCCATGCACCGCAATGAAGAGTAGCCCCTGCTCGCCACAACTAGAGAAAGCCAGTGCGCAGCAATGAAGACCAAACGCAGCCAAAACTAAAAATAAATAAATAAATAATTTTTTTTAAAAAGAAAGAAAGAAATGAAATGAAGAACCGATTGAGTGCTAGTTTTCTTTAAGGCATTGTGCCTGGTCCTGGGGATACGATGCTGTACGAGACAGGTGCTCGTCCTCAGGTTGCTTGCAGCCTCTCAGACTCAACTCTTCCTTCCTGCTCTCACTGCTCTTTAAGCACCTACCGTTGTAAACTTTATGCTGATTTATATATATATTTTTATATGTCTGTGTCCCCCACGAAACTGATCTCCTCAGGGCAGGAACAGACTGTACTCATTTCCTAGGAGATGCTCAAAAGCAGTTGCATTGCTGGGCCTGGCTCTGCACTTAAGACCAATGGAATGTGTTCCCCTAATGAAAAATGATGGAGGGAAAAGGCTGGTGTCAGTCAAGGTTTGATCAGGGAAGCAGAACCACTGTGAGGATTACGGTACAAAAGATTTACCTTAGGGCTTCCCTGGTGGCGCAGTGGTTGAGAGTCCGCCTGCCGATGCAGGGGATGCGGGTTCGTGCCCCGGTCCGGGAGGATCCCACATGCCGCAGAGCGGCTGGGCCCGTGAGCCATGGCCGCTGAGCCTGCGCGTCCGGAGCCTGTGCTCCGCAACGGGAGAGGCCACAACAGGGAGAGGCCCGCGTACCGCAAAAAAAAAAAAAAAAAAAAAGAAGCACAAATGGATGAAGCTGTGTGGTTCCAGAGCCAAGGTCATGAACATGGGTGTGCCTTTGGCTTGGGAGTAGGCAGAGGGTGTAGATACTTCAGAAGAGTGAAAGGTAGGTGCTGGGTCTCAGGAAACTCATGATTATTTTATCTAACAAGGGTCTGAGGTGGAAATACTTCCTGTTGTCGAGTAAAGTGAGACCTGTAGACTTTGTATACCAGCCCTGAGAGTGGTCATTCTTCTGCTGAGATGTGATGGTCTGGAGATACCCAGAACACTGCCTTGAGTCCAGTCTTGTCTCATCTAATCAGTGCTCTCCAGAATCTTCAGCATACTGGGTCTTAAATGCTCTTTTAGCATGTCTTAGCTCAGGACATGTAAAAGGTACTCTACTGCCTACTTCAATATAAACTCCCACTTGGTAGAACAGGAAACTATACTCAATATCTTGTAATAACCTCTAATGGAAAAGAATCTAAAAAAGAATATATATATATGTATATATACACACATACACACACATGTATCAATTATTTGCTGTATACTTGAAACTAACACATTATAAATCAACTATATTTCAATAAAATTTTTTTAAAAGCCGTCCCACTTGGGCTTCATTTTATCTTTTCCAAGTTGGTCCCTCCATCTCTTCTGCATCTTCCTGTCACATTAGTCGGGTTCACTGCTCCACAAAGATCCTACTTGGATTAAATGTCTGTTTCATATGCTTTCGTCTAGGCTTCCCAAAGTGATTGTAAGCTCTTCAAGGGAAAGCATTTATGACTTTTAAAATTTATTTCTCTTCTTTTGCCTTGAGGTTCCCATAGACTGAATATGTGAACACAAGTCAACTAAAGATGAGTAGAAGCACCCGATCACCACACCCGTGCTCTGAGCACCCAGGGAACCCCCCAAATGTGATGAGCCGGCACGTATTTAAAATAAGACTGACAAAAAAGAAGGCTTACGTCAATTTCTGTCATCTTACTGATGGCATCTTCATCTTACTCCGTAATTCTTCTTTTTTTTAAAAATACATAATGATTTTTTTATATATAAATTTTTTTTTTTTTTTCTGCGTTGGCTCTTCATTGCGGTGCACGGGCTTCTCATTGTGGTGGCTTCTCTTGTTTCGGAGCACAGGCGCTAGGCGCATGGGCTCAGTAGTTGTGGCTCGTGGGCTCTAGAGCTCAGGTTCAGAAGTTGTGGCGCACGGGCTTAGTTGCTCCATGGCATGTGGGATCTTCCCGGACTAGGGCTTGAACCCGTGTCCCCTGCATTGGCAGGTGGATTCTTAACCACTGCGCCACCAGGGAAGTCCCTTAGTAATTCTTTAAAATGATTGCACAGGTTTCTCTTTGTTGACTTTCTCTTCAATCTGGATAGTACAATGGAGTGGGATGTTTTAAATAAAAATTCAATATTAAAAAAAATAATAAGTATTTCTCTTTTTCTCAGGACTGACTATGGTAAATAGCCAATGCCTGTGCTTGACTCCATTCTAGTTTACCATGAGCAGGACTCAGAACAGTACCAGCCAAATGAGATATTTCATGAAGGTTTTGGAGCGAAATAATAATCATCTCAGAATCAGAAATTATCTTGATGTGTTTTTTGTAATGACAACATTGATGATAAAGCCTCGTGATAATATGGTGTAAAGGTGTTCAAGGACTGAGTTTGAATGCCAGCTCTGTCACATATTAACTTTGTGACCCTGGGCAGGGCTCCGTGAGCTAGTTTCCTCATTGTAAAAGAAAGGTGATCACGGGGACCTCAGGGTGGTTGTGAGGACTAAGTGACACACGAAAAGGAGCATTCAATAAATGTGTTTTGCTACAGAAAATTTTAAATCTCTTATTTTTTATTCTACTGGTTTTCTATTTTTTCCTTTACCTGGATCAGAAAGATAATTTTACATTTTCCTTCAACTTTTTTGAAACTTAATATTTTCTGACAATGAGAAGTTGGTAGACATCATATTAACAAAAGATTTTTTTCCTTTTTTGGTAATTACTTGGATCATAACAAATAATAATAAAACAAGATGAATTTCTCTCAGCTTTGGGCTGGGAATCAGGAGGAGGAGGAAGGGAAGGGAGAAAGAGAGTCCTTAGACTGGTGGTAGAAACATAACCCACTAACCCTTGATTGGGCACCCGTGACGAGGTCTCTGTGGTGGGGAAGCCCCACCAAAGGGATCCTTTCTCGGTGAGCAAGAATGCTTCGGGGCTGGGCTGTGAGCTCCCAGGGCAGAGCCCTACTGCCCGCTCTCTGATCAGCTCGACTTTGCTGCAGGTTGGTTGTGACTGAAAGGAGACCACTGTGAATTAACTAGGAGGGAGAACATCAAGTTGGAACTTTATTTCACCCAGCCACAGAGGGATAAAACGGCATTCTTCTCTATTTAAATTCTATCCCATCTTCTTGTCCTTCCACGCAGGACTGCTGACAGAGGTTGTCGGGGCAATTGTGCCAGGTGTGGAGATTCTGCCCACCGGTCAATTGACCTCACTCTCAGATGCTGGCTCTGCCCCTGTCTCTTGAGGTCGGCCCTTGTACTCGCAAGACTTTATGTGCCTCTGTAAGTATAGTAAAACTCCATTAATCTGATGTTATCATGCAAGAAGAGAAAAGTGAAGCCACCAGTTGACAAGATGAGACTTTTTCCTGACATCATAGGTTCTTTATTTGCAAGTACAGATAATATTTGAAAGGAAATAAAAACTCAGAGGCTCAAATGCATCCAGTAAATTGAAGGAGCAGTGACACATGCATCCACAAGTGAGTGTAGCTGTATGAAGCCCTACCTGTTTCCCTAGGCAAAAGCACAGCAAGGGTTATCAAATATATGCCTCCTTCACATTATCAGGCAACTAAAGATAATCATATTATTCTCTTTTGCAAAGTCCGTACACTTCAATGTTGTAGCAAAAAAAAAATAATGCAATTATAAAGTGAGGCTAGAGAGGAATTTCTCATAAAATTCCTGTAAGTATAGTAAACAAAATTTACATCACATCTCGTGATATTCCCTTATCAATCATTAAAAACAGATTTCCTTAAGCAGGCCTGCCTTTGTATTACTTCTTCTGCTTTCCATCCTTATCATTAAACTCAGAGCTACTAAACACTAAGGATTACTCAATATAGCCCTGGCAACATATAAACAAACAGAAAACTCCTATTTGAAAGCCCTGTTGCAAAGCACAGTTAATGAGTAAACAGAAATTACTGACTTATAAGAAACACTGTCACCCAGAAGGAGAATTATCAGAATAGCTTTGTCAAGTGGGAGTAACTGTTTAATATAACTAGCCCATTTTGGAAACAGAAAGCCAATTAATTTACTTTCTCTCTCCTGCCTGTGGCCAGTCTGTCTTTCTCTCTTGTCCCTCTTTGACCTCTGAGGGTTTTTATTATTGTTTTTCCCCCATTAAGAAGTTCAGCATTCAGTCTCTTGACTTCCCTTATTTTCACATGTGTTCAGGGCTCAGATGTCACAGTTTATTCAAAATGTCAAGAATCTTGTATGAAAATTGATGACGTACGTTTTAAGGTACACATTCGTTATCAGAAAAGCAAACTGCAGTAGGCCACGAGTCACATTAGTTTGTCCATTTTCTGTGCTAGTTGAGAAAACTTGTGAGGAAGACTCAGAAAGGAGTTTGAATTCTGTGCACAGCTTTATGTCGTCCGTAGAGATTGACGGTGTCCCCATTAGGAGTCTCACCATTTCTCTCTAGGCTGCTCTGAACGTTCATGGTCTTAGTTGTATTATATCAGGATATTTGGACAATGGGGAGAGGGGATGATGAGATGTTAAGGAAATACCCGTAGCTGCATAAATTAATAAAGAGCATCAGAGAGACTGAAATCATGAAATTTTTTCATTTCTACAGTTGGATTCACTCCATTAACTGGCTTCCAGGGGCGTCCAGGACATTTGGGGGAAGTTGTTTCTGGAAAATCTGGAATCAATTTAAATGCAAGGCTATTTGGCTCTATCTGGATGTCAGGGATCCAATCATCATCACTCTCTGTGGGAGGTGGTAGTGTATTAGGCATCACAGTTGCAACGAGATCTGAGTCCTGTAAGTTAGGAAAGGTATTGGCTACACTTGGCTGGGCTAGGGAAGGGAGGGGTGTTGGCCCTTCTGTCTTCTTTTGTACCTGTGAAGAAGAGGTAGTACTATCTTCATAAAAATTTGCCAAATACTCTGTTCTCCAACCATCGTGCTTTCCATTGTTTTTCTCTCTATTTTTATGTTTTCCGTGGCCATGACCATGCTTATGTCCATGGGCTAGGCCATGTCCCCTTTGATGTCCATGACCCCTTTGGTGCCCATGGCCAAGATCATGACCCCTTTGGTGTCCATGGCCTTGGTCATGCTCATGTTTATGGCCATGGCCAAGGCCATGTTTTATTTGCTTTCCATGGCCCCAGCCATGCCTATGAGTGGGTCCTTGTTCTTTTCCTGAATCCCGCTCTTCATCGTGTACAGGTGCCAGGAAAGTGTGGGGTGGACTTACGATTGTTCCTTCTTTAGTTTTCTCCACTGGTACTGATCGGAAAGGTGAAAAACCTGGAGGCCTTTTCATCAGTGTGATCTAAACAGGAGATATTAAGATGAATGCATTACTGTGAAAACCACACTATCAAAGAAGAAAGAAGGGACAGGGACCTGGCAATGTTATCTCAGTTTACAGTGGGTCATGTCTTTGCCAGATTTTAAGTACTATATTATAATAATAATCCAAAAAGGATGAAAATGAATAATATTTTTCCTTTTTTGATTGATTTTATAATTTGTAGATATTGATTCTTTTTCTTAATAATACTCTAAACTAGAGAATTTTTTTATTTATCTGGAAAAACTGGATGGTTAACTATATAATCTCTAGGGTACTTTCTAAGGCTATGATTCTCTAAAGCCATGGCATATTACTTATTAGTTGATGCTATTTCTATTAGCACAATTACTGCTTTTATCCAAAAAGGCCCTACCTGGCTTTAAGAATGGAATACATAGGCAGCATATACCACAATCACTCTGTTGAACTGAAACACATTAGAATATATATGTTCATAAGCTTGAAACACAGCCTTTGTATAATGTTTGTATTAGAGTATATACATACCTACACATGGCGAAAACCTAAATGAGGACAAAGGGAGCGGAGGCAACTTGCATTGAAGATATGGATTTGTGGATTGTTTCTACCTACACTTTCACTACCTATGAGGACGTGGCAGTCGGAGGCACTGTTTGGTGATGCAAAGAGCATGGTCTTTGAAGTCAAACAAGCCAGACCCTACTAGTTACCAGCATCTTGGTGAACAGAGTGGGCTCTGATTTGACCTAGATTTGAATCCGAGCACCACTAGCTTCACTTTCCTCATGTGTAAAATAGGCATGATAAAAGCACCTGCCTCATAGAGTTGTCAGGAGGAACGTATGTGTCAGGTCCTCAGTACAGTGCCTGGGAGGGAGGAAGCACTTGAGAAAGTTATTATTCACTTTAGGACTTTAGCATCTTCGTAATTTTTCGTGTCTCAACATTGACAGTGGGGAAAGTATTACTTACCTCCCAGGGTTCTTTTAAGAATTAAAAAAATGATGCAAACTAATGCTTCTCAAACTTGAATATGGGTATGACTCCCTTGGGGACTGTGTTAAAATGCAGCTTTTGATTCAGGAAATGTGGAGTGGAGTATGAGACCTGTGTTTCTCCCAAGCTCCCTGGATGTGCTTCACTAAGAGAGCCTGTGGACCCCTGGGGCACTGACAGTGTCTGAGAAGTGATTAAGAGGACTGCTGCTCTCCTTTCTAGTCATAAAAAAAAAAGAGATCAGCACAGAAATGTGAGAGCTCTCCACATTTTAAAAAGATAGTCCCCCAATTCACTTAAATAGTGGATCATTTTCAACCCCAAAATATGATTTTTCAGAATGAGCATAACTAACCCAAACCAACTGTAATTAGAATCATACCTGTCCAAGTGATTGACAGTTGACAGTAGGGTAAATTTTTTTCTCCCAAGGGACCACGTGAACATCAGCTTTACAGTTTAGAATTAGCTATCCACGAAAACAGAAGCCAAAAGAGAGAACAGTGTTATTCATGAGATACATAAACAAGCATAAAACGTCATATAGGTTTCCAGGGAATAAGTAAGATGGTTGCGTTACTACTCACACTATGTTTATTGATCTCACAACTTTTCGTCAACTCTTCATTACTTTCCTTAGAACATGTGGTTTCCCTGGCCGTGAACACAATAGAATATTTTTTTCCAGCTACCACCTGGAAAATGAATTAGTACAACATAGGAGCTTAATTAATACTGTGTAATAAATCATACATTTTACCATAAGGGCTTTTAGGGGAGAATATTGAAATTTTAATTATACATTGACCAAGTGAGAGCTACACTCAAAAAGCACAAATATTTGACAACAAAACTTTGTTTGTACGCATGTTAAAACACTTGGCTATTGGTTGGGCTCGTTTCCTTTTCTAAATGGGAAAAGAAAACCAGGCTATAATTTTTATTTTTATATTTTTCTCAGTTTTATTGTTTAGCAGCTGCAAAATTCACTAGTAATTCTAAGCCTCAAGTCATAATATATAGACTCTAGGAAGAATAGGAAGTAAAACTTAAACATTTCCTTTAAACACAATCTTATTGTCCTGCCAAATCTTGAATCAGAGAAATACTGAGTTAGTACCACTATAGAAATTATGTGGATTAAATTATGTGAGTAGGAAAATGATTTGGATTTCTAGCTCGCTTCTCTGAGTTTTTTAATATTAAGAAATTATTTTAAGCTCTAGCACTCTAGCAATATTTTTAATCATTACACAATGCTGTCTTCTGTTAACAATTTGTGGCCCAATTTTTTCCTTTTTTTTTTTGGTCTAGAAGAGGCACACTTTATTTACTTAAAAAGTAACAATCATTGTGTGTGTGTGTTTTTTTTTTAATACACTGACTTCAACAAAATCCCGAGCACAGTTTTTTTTTTAAAGCCTTACAGCCTTTATATACTTGAAAAACACACTTTATAAAATGTTTTAAAATTATATATATAAATTTAAAAGTTAGGGACTTCCCTGGTGGTGCAGTGGTTAAGAATCTGCCTGCCAGGGCAGGGGACATGGGTTCGATCCCTGATCTGGGAAGATTCCCACATGCCGTGGAGCAACTAAGCCCATGTGACACAACTACTGAAGCCCACGTGCCTACAGCCTGTGCTCTTCAACAAGAGAAGCCACCGCAATGAGAAGCCCACGCACTGCAACAAAGACCCAACACAACCCAAAAAAAAAAAAAAAAAAAAGTTAGTTGATGTGGCTCAATTTTCAGGCTCAGTTATTCAGTATTTCATTCGAGGATTTAAATGTGTGTGTGTGTGTGTGTGTGTGTGTGTGTGTGTGTGTGTGTGTCTGTGTGTGTGTATGTGATGGACTGAATGTATCCCTCCCAAATGCATATATTGAAGGCCTAACCTCTAAGGTGATGGTTTTAGGAGGGGGAGCCTTTGGTAGGCAGCTAGGTTTAGATAAAGTCATGATGGTGGGGCCCCCATGATGGGATTAGTGACCTTATAAGAGAGAGACTAGACCCCGTTCTCTCTCTGAAATGTGAGGACACAGTGAGAAGGCAGCCATCTGCAAGTCAAGAAGACAGTCCTTACCAGGGAAACAAACTGGCTGGTTTTTGGACTTTCCAGCCTCCGGAACTGTAAGAAATAAACTGCTGTTGTTTGTCACCTAGTCTATGGTATTTTGTTATGGCCACCTAAGCAGACTAACACTGTGTGTGTGTGTGTGTGTGTGTGTTTAATATTAAGTAGCTATCAAAAAGAATATATCACATATATATGTTGACCTGGAGGGTTGACTGTTATTGAAAAAATAAAGTTATAGGGTGATAGTATAATCCCATTTTTGTAAAAGCAAATCATAACAGTCTTTCCGCTCTCTATGTTTTCTAAAAGCATGGAGAAATTATGGTGGGAGGAGGATGAGGAGAGCGAAGAGTCACAGGAAGAACTAAACTCCTCTACATTTTCTGGCATCATTTTGCTAGGTAAGCACAGCTAAATTTTTAGGACAAATTTGGTAATTAACTTTTAAAACTCCAGATATGTATAAGTTGGGCAGGAAGGTTTGAAAAGCGTTTTAGAGTCTATACTTCGGTGATCATGAATTTTGTTGCTTATTTCAGAGTATACTTTAATCCAGTTTGTTTGACATTACAGTTGATCAATGTGATGCCGCCTAAGAAAGCTGACAGTATATGACACAAACTGCAGCTGTTGGCTCAACACTATTCCAGGTCCAGAGGGCAGGAATAAAGTAGACCTAATAACGTCTTCTGTTCGAGGGCCTCAAGATCGCATCCACATTGCCATTCTTATCAGGTGCCATTCTTATCAGAAGTCTTCCCTGTTTAAGCCCATCCTGCCCAAGTTTTGCTTTTAAGGTAGAGAACACTATGTAGCAATATAAGTTCCAAATGCATTAAAACATTTAAATTAAAGAAATAAGCTGGAAAGATATAAAAAACATTCATCAGTTCTCAGGATGATGAAGGCTTTTTGTAGGTGAAAAGCAGAGGAAGGAACCAGGAGGAAGGGAAAAATGTCTAAATTTGACTAGACAAAAATGAAAACTGATTCTCAAAAGTCACCATAAGTAAAGTAAAAAGGGTAAACTGGGAAGAATATGATGTAGGGTCAATATGACCAATATTTAGTGTTGGTCATAGAAAGCCCAACACTAAAAAACTGGACAAAGGACATGACCAGATCTTTTGGAGAAGTTAAAATGGTCATTAATCCTGAAAAAAGTTTACCTTCATTAATAACCAAGGATACGTACGTAAAAAAACAATGCAACATCATTTTTAACCTTGCGTGTTGGCAAAGATGAGAAACAGCGATGACACCTGGTGTCGGCCAGGTGTGGGAAACATGCAGCTTCAATCACTGATGGTAGGAATATAATTCAGATCAAGACCATCAACCAGTGTCTTACACCCAGGTGGTGTGAATGTAAATTGGCATAATTGCAAATCACTTGGTAATTTGTCAATTTGCATCATAAGTCTTAGACATCCACATATTCCTTGACATTTCTAGGACTTCGTCAAAGGAAAAATTCTAATGTGCACACACAGATCCTTGAAGTGTGTTCATCTGTGCAGAGGCAGGGAGGGACATTGACAGCAGCGGGGACAGAGGCAGTAGGGACACAGCAAAATGAACGGTATATAACAGAAATCGCAACCATTCACATGTGCAAACAAAGGATTTAAGAAATGTTTGGTATCTGAAATATGAAACCAACCTGGAACGGACATGCACCCAAATAGGACTAAACATGCGAAGCCAAGGCAAGACTAAAATTGTAAAACAAATCTAGCAATTTGGCAAATTGGTCATTTGGAGATTGGCTACTGCAAATTCATTATGGTAAGTTGATTTCCAATAATAATAAATTGGCTGCTCCCACTAAGGCTGCCTTGAGTAACCAAATTGCTCTCTTTACATGCAAAAATCAGTAAAGAGTCACCTCTTAAAAGTAAATTTGAAATTCTCACAATATTCCAGATTAATTTAGCAAATGAAGGGATGTCATTCCCTTTCAATTCGTAGCATAATCTATTGTGGTTCCCCTTGCACCCTTAGCATAAACAAACACACATCCATTCTAGTGTGTCGACTCATTTACAGAAAGAACTGTGACTACCAAGACTAGTAGTTCACGCTTGAGAATGAATGGTTCTCTCCTGACAGTAACTCTCTGACATGCAATATATGGTGGAGTACAAGATTGTTCCTGCATCCTTAGGAATAAAGGAATTTCACAGAAAAGCAGAAATATAGAGTGAGAAGAAAAGCTGACACAGACAGGAGTAGTAGGCATTGGTAGCTCCTTCAAGTAAGCCTAATGTGGGTCACATGTCAGTGAAATCAGTGAAAGGAGTTAGCGACTAGGACAGGAATAAGTGCCTGAGTAGGAGAGAGATCAAGTGTCAGTTTTATTTTAATACAGTTTGTTTAGGTCCTTTTTTTCCCCCCAGTTATAAAACTACTACAGGAAACAAGAAAGATGAAAATAAACAGCCCATTGTGCCATTACCTAAAAGCTACCACTATGAATAATCTGAGGTATTTGTTTCTTTTCAGTATTGTTTCCTGTACTGTTTTATTTTTGGTTTTTATTTATTTATTTTCTTTAGGCTGCACAGTGTGGCATGCAGGACCTTAGTTCCCTGACCAGGGATTGAACCCGTGCCATCTGCAGTGGAAGTGCGGAGTCTTAACCACTGGACCACCAGGGAAGTCCTTAAACTTTTTAAAATAACACAACTGAGTACAGAATGTTTATTCAATTTTATGGCCTCTTTTTTTTTTTTTTTACTGAAGTATAGCTGATTTACAATGTTGTGTTAATTTCTGCTGTACAGCAAAATGATTCAGTTATACATATATATACGTTCTTTCTCATATTCTTTTCCATTATGCTTTATCACAGGATATTGTATATAGTTCCCCGTGTATGGCCTGTTTTTTCACTGCATATTATAACATAAGCATTTTCCACATCAAGAACTCCTCACAAAGATGATTTAAAATTGCTGGTTAATATTCCATTGTACAAATATACCAGACATTATCTGATCATGTCTATATTACTGATCATTTTTATGGTTTACTTTTTTTGCTTTTGTAGTTAGAGCTGCAATGAATATCATTGTATTTAAAGACTCCTTCTATTTTAGATTTCTAGAAATTCAATTACTTAGCCAGAATTATAAACTTATTTTTAGTGAGATTTTCTTTGTATTGATAGATTATAAAAACCATCTTGGTTTGCTATAGGAGTTTGGTTCTACTTTGATTACTTTTTTTAGCTTGTATTTAGGGAAGCCTGTTTTGAGGTTCCATAAAAGGAATTGTCCATGAATACATCGGTCATAGGCTATTGGAGTTAGAAGGGATTTGGGCTCTTCTAATCAGCCACTCATTTTACAGATGCTGTGTGAGTCTGAATGACTGCCCAGGATCACCTGGGATGCAAGTGGTGGATGCTGTGGCAGAGCTGAGTCTCCTGACCTCCAGACCAGGATACTCCTTATCCTCTATTGACAAGCATGGACAAGAGAGATGAATCCCCAGAGGCTACATTTGTAGGAGAGAATGACACCCCAGGCAGGGAACAAATGACATGAAGATGAATGTGTGAAGAGAGCCTGGGGGACGATTGGCTGATGTGGCTGAGCGCAAGGCATGAAGTGATGTTAGAATGAGAGATGAGTCTAGAAAGGCAGAGGATAAGTCTCGCTTTTCCTAGCCCTGAATTTTATTAATTATATATATAATCATTGCTAATATTTATATAGCACTTTAGATTTTGAAAAGTGATTGACATACATTATCTTTTTTAACCCTCACTGTAGTCCTTTACGGATAAAAGAGACAATATTTTAAATGACTTGTCCAAGATCACACACCAAGCATGCAGCGAGGTTGGGACCTGAAATTCAAGTCTACCAAATCCCATTCACCAGATATACTGTTTCCCAATCCAGAGCCAAGATCAGTGGCAAAATTAGTAAGCAATTTGCAATAGATAATCACTATTTTTGTAGCATAATTTACAGACCTGCACTGTTGCTTTTTCCACAGTGTCAATCTTGAAATAGAAGGTTCCATTATTCTCTACATTAAGCTTTGCGATGGAATGTTCCAGAGGTTCCTCCAGCTCTGGGCTGTTGACAGGTATAGATATGGGACAGCCAGCGCAAATCCTGGTGGGTGGTTGTACAAAATCCTCCCCTGAAAGAGGCAGGTTTTATATCAGCGTGTGCACTGAAGGAGCCGTCTAGCCTAGTATTGTACCTTTCCCACATGTGATCCAGCATCCATTTATAGAGGGCCACGTGGCAGCCCAAGGCCCAGCAGTGAGTGGGTGGAGGTTGCCTGTCAGACCTCCAACTTACTGTCTCTCCTCTCTTCCTCTCCTAAGAGCCAAGTGTGTGTAGGGAAACTTTCAATCAGAAGGTGTTAGTTAGTGACAATCAATAGGCCGCACTTTTCTTAAGTTTTTGCATTTTTAATGGAAACTGTGAAAAGCAATGCTTAACGTAAAGGAATGATCTTCTAGTGGGAAAATTCTGGTGAGCAGGCAACTTCCATAATGCTTTATATTGTACAACATATACAACTATCTTCCAAATATGAGAAAAGCCAACTCTTGGTGTAAGAAATACTGACTTGACCTTAAACTTGCACTATCGCCCTTTCCCCACATTATAACATGTAAGGGAAAAAAATCTTTAATTGAAAGGATTTTATTCTGAGTAGTTAAAAATGAGATACAGCTTCCCCAATTCACAATATCCGATGCAGGGACAGCTTGTATATAAGAAAGACCAGCTGACATATCTGAAGGCTAGCTTTGCCCAGAAAACATAAATTTTCCCTTCTGTCACCGTATTCCCTTCTGCCACTTGCCAAGCAATCTCAGCTTCACCTGCTGCAGCACAGCAGGGCAGAGATGGGGCACAGTGTTCCTAGTAAGGTCTGTGGGGCATGTAGATTTTGTGGCATATCATGGGAACCAAAGCACAATATCTATGGAAAGATTTAGCCAGTTGTCTGGGACTAACATGAGCACCAATATGTATCATCCTGTACCTGGATAAAGGTCACATTTCTGCGAGAAGGAAGCAATTCTTAGCTGGATATCCACGTATGCTTTATCTGTACATTCACCGATATTCTGGTTTTTAAAAAGCATATAAGAGCATAAATTAAAAACGTTTTTTAAGAATCTTTAAACGACTAGTAAAATTAAAAATAGGATGTTGACTTTGCAAATCATCATGTGGAAAAAAACAAAACATAGTCTATTTTCAAAAGATAGAATAATAAACAATGAAAAAGTAGTACCAACACCAACAGCAAATACATACACACAAGCACACAGAAACATGAAAAAAGATGACAAGAATATCTAATGTAGAAATAATAGTCGTACAAGTGAATGGGTAACATTTTCTTTTAGCAAGACAAGGACTTTCAGATTAGGTTAAAACCAAAATCAATGTACTACATCTTCAAGAATAATAGCATGTAATAAAAAAGATAAAGAAAGATTAAATATAATGGATGAGCAAAGCCACAAGAAGCAAATATGAACAAAAAAGGAGCTAGAGCATTATTAATACTGGACAAAGTAAAATTCAAGGTAACAACTCATAAAGGTAAAAGAAAGATAATTTTAGTTTTATCTAAAAGCATGGAATCAAAATGCATAAAGCAGAAAACATATAGAAATAGAAATGGATAAAAATAATTGTGCTGGGAAACTCCAATATATAACTATTATACAACAGGCAAAATGTATAAAAAATAAATAAGGTCATAGAAGACTTGAATAACATAATAAAGATTTGTTGAAATGGTATTCTCATATGATACACACGATTTAAAATGATACTCTCATAAGTATGATGCAAATAATATTTCTAATTGCTTTTATACTAGGTTACAAGAAAGTCTCAATAAATTTTGCAAATTGAAAACAATACAGGCATGTTCTTTGACCTCAGCACCACAATGAAACAAAAAAGTCCGTAAAAATTAATAACATAAGTTTAAACAAATAAACAACCAAAAAGTACTTGGAAAAATAAACACACTTTCCTAACTAAAATCTTCATTGATAAGGAAAATAATAAAAAACAAACTGAGAAAAACGAGAATTCCACATGTTGCCAGGGCAGCACTCAGAGTTAACTCCCGGCTTTATACACTTCCACAATTTAAAGAGAGGCAAAAACTATCAAAACACCCCCAACCTCAGTGTTTATCTCAAGAAGTTAGAACAAGAAGAACAATAAACAGCCTTAAGGAAAACAAGAAGGAGGAAACAATAAAAATAAAAGCAAAGCTGGTGAATTAGAAAACAGAAAGCACTAGCATTAATAAATAAATCCAAATAATCATTCATGGGGTAAGGAAAAATAATCAAATGCATAAAAAAGGAAACCTAACAAAGTATACAGAGAAATGTAAAAATATAAGAAAATATTATGAACAAGTGTATGCTAATTTAAATCTCAAAGAAAGACACTTTTCTGGAAAATATAAATAACCAACACTGACTTAAGAACAAGAAGAAAACTTGAATGGACCAATGACTAAAGAAGAAATGGAGAATGCTATTACTACTCTCAATTTACATCCCATTTTTCACCTCTAAACAGCATAGATGTTTTATAGATGAATAATTTTAAAAATTAAAGAAATATATACTGTATTTCCATGTTATATAAACCATTTCTGAATACAGAAAAACTACCCAATCATTCTATAAAAGTATATTCTGGATACCAAAACCTTAAAAAATAGAATGCACACACAAACACATACCCAGAAAACTGTTACACCACTTTCACTTATAAATGTATACGTAGACTGCTTAACTAAACTAGAAATAGAATCCAAATGCATATTTAAAGAAAAATTAACACTAAACAAGTAGAGTTTAGTTTAGGAATCTAAAGATTACTATTAGGAAAGCTGTCAAAACAGCATAGATTAAATTAGAAAAATATGATATTTCAATACATATTCTAAAGCATTTGCTAAATTCAACACCAATTCCTTATTTAAAAACAAAACAAAACTCTTTAAAGAGGAGGAATGTAAGGATGTTTCCTTAACATGAGGAAGAATATCTACCGGGATCCCACAGCAATATTATACGTAATGACAAAATTCTAGAGGCTTTCTCAATAAAATCAGGAATAAAACATGAATTTGTGTGATCACCACTATTTCAAAAAATATCTCTGAAAATTTGGATCAATTCATTGAGACATGAAACAAAAAAATAAACATTGGAAAATAGGAGATAGTATTATTTGCATAAGGTATTATTATAGATCTAGAACAATCAAAAAAATCAATGAAAAGACATTAGAGTTAATCAGAGAGTTCAATAAAGTTTCTGGATATAAGGTAAGCTAATCAAAATGTATACATTTGTAGGGCTTCCCTGGTGGCGCAGTGGTTGAGAGTCCGCCTGCCGATGCAGGGGACACGGGTTCGTGCCCCGGTCCGGGAAGATCCCACATGCCGTGGAGCGGCTTAGCCCGTGAGCCATGGCCGCTGGGCCTGTGCATCCAGAGCCTGTGCTCTGCGACGGGAGAGGCCACAACAGTGAGAGGCCCGCGTAGCGCAAAAAAAAAAAAAAAAAAAAAGTATACATTTGTATATAACAATAACTTGTTTAAAAGAGAATGAAAGGAAAAGGAAAAAAAAAAGGATTTAATTCCTAATAACAATAACCAAAAACAACAAAACAAAACCTAGTAATAACTTTAGTGAGCATTGTTCTGAATATATTTAAGAAAATCACACAACTTTAGAAATATAAAATAAAACTTGACTACATAGAGATGTATACCAAGTTCTTGATTAAAAAGACTAAATATAGTACATATGCCAATTCCTCAAATTAATTTAGAAATGTAATGCAATTCCAATCTATGTGACAGTGTAAGTTTTTCTTCCAAACCTCTTCTAAGATTGGTTTTAAAAATACAAACACTAGAATAATAAAACATGTATTCAAGCTTACTATGAAGCTATGGCTGTTAAAATACGGTAGTGTTGGTACAAAAACAGAGAACAGATTTTTTGTAAGAAATTATTACGGGATAAAGTTTGTTGCAAATTTTGTTGAAGGAAAGACTGTTAAGGTATCTGGTTATTCTCTTGAAAATATCAAGTTAGATACCTCACAAGATACATCAAAATTAATTCCATATAGTTTCAAAAGCTATATTTGAAAATACTGACCATAGACAAACTAGAAAAAAAAAAAACATATAGTGACTGCTGAGCAAGTTGTAGAAAGATTCAAAAGGAAAATATTGATAGATTTAGTCACCTATACACAAAAACTATTTGTAAGTCAGAAATACCATAATGAAAACTAAAAAGTAAATAAATGAGAAAATATGACAAAACACTGATACCTTTAATATATAAATACTATTTCTAAGTCATTAAGATTTATCCCAAAAAGAAATGGGCAAAGGATGTAGAAGACAATTCATAAATTCAACCCATAAATTTCTAATGAATGTATGAAAATATAATGCTTAAATAAATGCATATTAACTATGTTATTGATTGAGAAAATAAAAACTAAAAATGTTTTTGTCTATGAATTTAGCTGAGTTAAAAAAATACTGAATTCTATCAAGGGTAAACATTGCTGATGGAATGTAAATTGGTGCATTTAGCAGTTAACCTATATATATATCAAGAGTTTTAAGAGCTTTCATACAATTTTACACTATGTGTAAAGCCAGGACTTTATTCTGAGAAAAACAACGTCAAACAGAAATAGCTGTATTCTAAAAGATGTTTGGTGAGTTATTAATTATAATAAAAATGGAAACAACCCATTTTCTTGGTGGGTTTTGAACAAATGACCAAAAGTAGGAAAGTAATTTAAAAAATAATCTATGGTATCTTCACTAGGATATTAAAAGTTATTTTAAAAGTTTATCAAGAGTTCTAATGACATAGAAGAATTCTTAGGTGAAAAAAGTGTAGCATGTAAAATAATTACAACTACAAAAAGGCAAAAAAGAAAATCACTCAAAATTGCCCGTATTCCCCACCAAAAAAGACAAGAGGGAAATACATTCAGATAACTTTGGGTGTTTGGGTACGTGGTGCAACATTATTTTTTTTTCTTTGTTTCTGCATTGTCTTGAAGCTTTCTATAAATGTATATTTCCAATAAAGGAACACACATATAAGAAATGTACTCCAATAAAGATGTTAAAAAAAAAGTCATGTTTTTTAAAGGTACAGGGAATACCACACTTATAGTACCTTAATTTTGGATGGGGAGAAGGATGCTGGAGATAGCTCAGAAGTTCTCAGTATTATTAGCACATTTGGTTTACCTGAGAAATTTTTAGATCATCTGACTCCAGGGACTCACCCCAGACCAATTAAATCAGAATGTCTGGTATGGTACTGGCACAAAAACAGAAATATAGATCAATGGAACAGGATAGAAAGCCCAGAGATAAACCCACGCACATATGGTCACCTTATCTTTAATAAAGGAGGCAAGAATATACAATGGAGAAAAGACAGCCTCTTCAATAAGTGGTGCTGGGAAAACTGGCCAGCTACATGTAAAAGAATGAAATTAGAACACTCCCTAACACCATACACAAAAATAAACTCAAAATGGATTAAAGACCTAAATGTAAGGCCAGACACTATCAAACTCTTAGAGGAAAACATAGGCAGAACACTCTATGACATACATCACAGCAAGATCCTTTTTGACCCACCTCCTAGAGAAATGGAAATAAAAACAAAAATAAACAAATGGGACCTAATGAAACTTAAAAGCTTTTGCACAGCAAAGGAAACCATAAACAAGCAAAAAGACAACCCTCAGAATGGGAGAAAATATTTGCAAGTGAAGCAACTGACAAAGGATTAATCTCTAAAATTTACAAGCAGCTCATGCAGCTCAATATGAAAAAAAAAACAAACAACCCAATCCAAAAACGGGCAGAAGACCTAAATAGACATTTCTCCAAAGAAGATATACAGATTGCCAACAAACACACGAAAGAATACTCAACATCATTAATCATTAGAGAAATGCAAATCAAAACTACAATGTGATATCATCTCACACCGGTCAGAATGGCCATCATCAAAAAATCTACAAACAGTAAATGCTGGAGAGGGTGTGGAGAAAAGGGAACCCTCATACACTGTTGGTGGGAATGTAAATTGATACGGCCACTATGGAGAACAGTATGGAGGTTTCTTAAAAAACTAAAAATAGAACTACCATACGACCCAGCAATCCCACAACTGGGCATATACCCTGAGAAAACCATAATTCAAAAAGAGTCATGTACCACTATGTTCACTGCAGCTCTATTTACAATAGCCAGGACATGGAAGCAACATAAGTGTCCATCGACAGATGAATGGATAAAGATGTGGCACATATATACGATGGAATATTACTCAGCCATAAAAAGAAATGAAGTTGAGTTATCTGTAGTGAGGTGGATGGACCTAGAGTCTGTCATACAGAGTGAAGTAAGCCAGAAAGAGAAAAACAAATACCGTATGCTAACACATATATATGGAATCTGAGAAAAAAAAAAAAGGTCATGAAGAACCTAGGGGCAATACAGGAATAAAGACGCTGACCTACTAGAGAATGGACTTGAGGACATGGGGAAGGGGAAAGGTAAGCTGGGACAAAGTGAGAGTGTGGCATGGACTTATATATACTACCAAATGTAAAATAGATAGCTAGTGGGAAGCAGTCGCACAGCACAGGGAGATCAGCTCAGTGCTTTCTGACCACCTAGAGGGGTGGGATAGGGAGGGTGGGAGGGAGGGAGCCGCAAGAGGGAAGAGATATGGGAACATATGTATATGTTTAACTGATTCACTTTGTTATAAAGCAGAAACTAACACACCATTGTAAAGCAATTATACTCCAATAAAAATGTTTAAAAAAAAGACAAATGTTCAGTATGTTCACTGTTGGATGCTGCAACTAAAAAAAAAAAAAAAATCAGAATGTCTGGGGGAGTGATCTGGGAATAGGTGTTTTTTAAATCTAGGCTAGTGCTTCTAAGGTGCAACATGCCCTGAGAACTACGTAGGAAAACCCTCAAATCAGTGCTTTCCAAACTTTAATGTGCAGATGAATCACCTGAGAACCTTGTTAATATGCAGATTCTGATTCAGTAGCTAAGGGTGGAGTTGAGATTCTACTTTGCTAAGAAGCTCCCTGGTGATGCTAATGCACTTTGAATAGCAAGGCCTTAAATCTTACCAATTGTGGGCAAAATATTTCATTTCTATTTCATGTCCTTTAATTACTGTAACAACTCTGTGATATAGGTGCTATTATTCTTCACGATTTTACAAATGAGGAAGTGAAGGCTCAGAAAAGTTATACCAAATCTGATTGGCTTTGTGACTCCAACCAGCCTTTGCAACTCTCTGTGTTGCAAAGAGAAAACTTAACTGGGGGTTTATAAACAGATGCAGCAAGATTAAAGCTAGATAACATTTAGGCCTATATAACCTCAAACGGCTAAGCATAAAAACAGAAGATGTTAACAGATGCTTAAAAGGCCAGACTCAACTCAACCTGACAAAATTAAATAGTGGCTAGAACCTATGTGTTTAGAGGGTTCCTCTCTCTCTCTCTTTCTCTTTTATACTATTTTCTAAAATTCTGGTAAAATATATATAATATAAAATTTGCCATCATAACCATTTTTAAGTGTATAATTCAGGGCCATTTATTACATCCACAGTGCTGTGCAACCATCTCTACTATCTATTTCCAATAGTTTTCATCACCCCAAACACAAATTCTGCAACCATTAAGCAAAATCTCCCCGTTCTCCCTCTTCCCAGCCCCTGGTAAACTCTAACCTACTTTTTGTCTCTATGAATTTGTGTATGTTGGATAATTCATATAAGTGAAATCATATACTGGTTGTCCTTTTGTGTCTGGCTTATTTCACTTAACATTTTCAAGGTTCATACATGTTGTAGCATATATCAGAATTCCATTCCTTTCTATGGCTAAAGAATTGTTATATGCATGTCACATTGTGTTTATGCATTCCTCTATCGATGAACTTTTGGGTTGTTTTCCACCTTTGGCTATTGTGAATAATGCTGCAATGAATATTGGCATATAAGTATCTTTTTGAGTCCCTGTTTTAAATTCTTTGGGGTATATATCTAGGAGTATAATTGCTAGGTCATATGGTAATTCTACATTTAACTCTTTGAGGAACTGCCATACTGGTCTCCACCATGGCTGCATGATTTTACATTTCCATCAGCAATGTACAAAAGTTCCAATTTTTCCACATTCTCCCCAATACTTGGTATTTTACAATTTTTTAAAATTACAGCCATCCTCTAGGTGTGAAGTAGCATCTCATCTGTGGTCTATACTTACATTCCCCCTGATGGCTAATGATGTTGAGTATTTTTCATGTGCTTTTTGACCATTCGTATGACTTCTTTAGAGAAATGTCTATTTAAGTTGTTTGCCCATTTAAAAATTTTGTTGTTGCACCGTGGAAGTTTTTTATATATTCTACATATTAAGCCCTTTTCAGATATATGATTTGCATATATTTTCTCCCATTCTGTGGATTGTCTTTTCACTCTCTTAGTAGTGTCCTTTTTACTTCCCCCCCATTTATGAAACAAACACATGCTTGATTAGAAACATTGGGAAGTATTGAAGAGTTTCAAAAAGTATAAAAAATCAGAAAAAACAGCCATAGTTCCAACTAAAAGTTAGCCATATTTTATATTTTGGCATATTTGTTTTTCATCACTTTTTATGTTTACATCTACTTTATGTACCTGAGTAAATCTGTATGTGTAATTTTGTACCGTGCTTTTTTTTGTTTTTTACTTAACATACCGTAACCATTTTACTAGGTCACTAAAATCTCTGCAAACATAATTTTAATGGCTGCACATATTCTACTGTATGGATATACTGTAATTTGCTTAACCATTCCATATGTTGAAAATATGTTATTTTTAATATTTTCCTTTTAATAAAAAGTCAAAATTAACATCTTGCTGCCTGGATTTCTCATTTTCTTCCCATATAATGGACGTTGAGAAGTAGAATGACTAGGTCAGTGGTCCTCAACCTTTCTGGCACTAGGGACTGATTTCGTGGAAGACAATTTTTCCACAGATGGTAGGGAGTGGTGGGGTGGGGGAGATGGTTCAGGCAGTAACACGAGCGATGGGGGAGTGATGGGGAGCAATGGGGAGCGGTGGGGAGCGATGGGGAGTGCTGGGGAGCGATGGGGAGCGATGGGGAGTGATGGGGAGCGATGGGGAGCCGTGGGGAGCCATGGGGAGTGGTGGGGAGCGGTGGGGAGCGATGGGGAGCCATGCGGAGCCATGGGGAGCGATGGGGAGGGATGGGGAGCCATGGGGAGCGATGGGGAGGGATGGGGAGGCATGGGGAGCGGTGGGGAGTGGTGGGGAGCTGTGGGGAGTGATGGGGAGGGATGGGGAGCGATGGGGAGGGATGGGGAGCGTCAGATGAAGCTTCGCTCACTCACCCGCAGCTCCCTTCCTGCTGTGTGGCCTGGTTCCTAACAGGCCTCAAACTGGTACCGGTCCACGGCCCAGGGGTTGGAGACCCCTGGACTAGATGAAGGGACTTGCAGCCACCCCTTGCTTAAAGAACAGCCTTCTGCTAAAATGCAAATAGCCCTGGGAAGGTCATCATGCCTTATCATCTTAACATGCACTAACTCCTGCCACTTTGAGATGCTCTCTTTTAACATAATTTTGGTTCAGGTAATAAGATATCAACCTGGAAAGGGCCACTAAGGGAGAGAGACACAGGATGTACTTATTAAAGATAAAAGTAGGGGAGGGAAGGTGAAAGAACAAGCAGAGACAAGTTGGAAGTGAAGGAGTGTCCTGGGTAGAGCTCGGGAGCCTTGTAAGGACATTGAGCACACGGGGAGGAAAGGAGACAGGAAAGCGTGAAGACATGAAAAGACAAACTTGACCGTGGCATCATTTTGTCTCAGGCTATTCCTAGCCTCTGGTTATATCTGTAAATGCTTATTGCCAGATGTACAGACTCTGACCAGCTGGGTAAGCAGCTTGACCAATGATGTGAACTGTAGAGTCTCAAGTGAAAGTGAATGTGAGCTGCGTATGTCATCAAAAATTTTAGTGACTGAGACTTCCTCCACAGCTGAGAGTTCCCACACCTGTAAATACTGGACACAAAAGGCTAAGAACTTTATGATTAGATTTTTGCCTACTTACACCATTTGAAAGGGACTTGCAGTCTGGAGTTAAGAATAGAAAATTCTCCTTGGAACAATTAGTCTGCACAATTGAGTAAGTAATTTCATAGTTCCATCCAGCCACCACCTGAAACGATTTTGGATTGAATATTTAAAGGGCAGTTTAAACATAATTCATAGTGTTAGGAGGAGCTTAGAATACTGCCTGACATTTCATAAGTGCTCAAAAATACAAACTATTATTATTACTAGGCAAAAGTCATTACTGAATAAATATTGAGCACATTATGACTCTCACACCCTTCAACACAACACACACACACACACAGCTACACATCTGAAAATGAAAAGCAATTTATAGATGGAGTTAATGTATTTCCTTAAGTAAGACGTAGCAATATTTCCTCTGCCAGGCAACAGGGAAAAAATGATCTGTTGAATTTTGTAAAATATTAATAATGCTTTTCTAGATGGATAAAGAAATCTTTGGAGCTGGAGTGGCCTTGACCAGTAGGTCCTTACGTTCCCAGACTGCCAGACAGTAAGATTTCTCCTGCTTTATCTAGGGTGGGTCCCACCCTGATAGCTGGATATGGACAGAACTGAGGAGAGCATGCATCTTGCATGAAGGCAAGTCGGAAGGTCAATTAAAAGCAGGAAATGCTACTGACCAAAGTGGGTCCCTCATAATTAGAGGCTGAAATCCAAGGGGCCCAGTCAGTTGTCAGTAAAGTCTTCATGAACTGAGGCAACAGAAAGGACCAGATTTACAAGTATTTGCTTTTTTCTCTGCTGAAATGGAAACCATAATTTAGAGGGTACCCAGCAAGCTTTGCCAACTTTTTTAGGTACAATTTAATATTGGGGGGCCATGTTTGCCTCCTAATAGTTAGGTGATGAGAGAGTCTTCTTAAAACCCTAAGGCCAGAATGACTTTTCCTTTTTACCATCTCTGGGAGAACATGCAATGCTGACCACCCATTCATCAAAAACAAATCTCCCAGGAAGGGCGTCTGATTAGGCTCCCTTTCTCCATTTACATACTGCAGTATCCAAATCATTGTGCCTGAAGAGAAAGCCTTTGCCTCCTGAGCTAGTCGTATGAGAACGTGAAAGAGTTCCTCACCACCACCTGTGGAATCATATGTTTTCCTCGGCCAAAGGTTTATTTTAGGTAATGAAACCCTAAACCATAAAGATCTAACAAATTCTAACAATACTATGACACGGGAAAAATTAAAGAACAAACCTGTCTTTGGGCCTTTTTTACTTCTTTAAGATCAAAGAGGTGGGAGTGATCAGTGTTGTTGTTAAAGTGTTGAATGGCATGTCTCAGTACAGGTTCCAAGTCGGGGCTTTCGGTTGATATGGGGTGCAGGCAGCCAAGGCAGTCGTACTGGGCTGTCACCAGGGGGCCCTCGGCTTGACAAAGAGCAAGCAAAAGGGCAGCGTTAACAAGCAAAACCTGCATTCACATACATTGCCCTAAATAAGTCAGATAATTTGGAAGGCCCTGATAAGCAAACTTTCTAGTAAGTCCTAGTATGCACTGGAAAAAGAGAACACAAGACTGAATGATAGGGAAGACCTATCATTCACTTAGGGACATCTTATATGCATCCTATTGTGCATAATTATTTTAAATTTATTTTAAAGTCATTTTAAATTACGGAAGTGATACACGAATTTATCCTCATAAAATTAAAACATTACAGGTGCATTTTTATTTCTTTTTCAGTGTTAACCAAAGCTCCTTGAAGCCGGGAGCAGGACGTAATACATTTTGTATCAATTCAATCCAACAAACATGTATTTCGCACCTGCTATAACATGCCCTGTGTTGAGCATGGCTGCGTGGATGCATTAATTCGTTAGTAATGGCCACTGCCATGAAGGAGTCGGGAAAAGTCAAGGGGGAGAGACCGAACTGGAGATGGATGATTTCAGTATAATTCAGCAAGAGATTGGAAAGGCAGGAGCCCAGAGTGAGCCCAGGGAAGCCTTTCCTGAGGAGAACAGGCTGAGCTAAAAGGTGTGAGGCCTGAGGAGAAGGGAGGGACGGCGCCTGAGGAAGAAGGATGAGGCAGGGACCGTGTTGTACACACATCTTAACCAGAGCTTATAGCAGGAGGCAGGGAGGGGTGGTCTGAAGTGTGAGCAGTCTGAAGGGAGGCCTCTGCTGTGGAGTCTGGGCTGTGCTCTGTAGGCAGGGATTCTTAACTATTTTCCTGGGTCATAGGCTCCTTTGATGACCCTAACGTAAGCTATGGCGCCCTCTCCTGGAAGATGCACATACTCACAACCTTCTCCACTTCTGGGCATTCCTAGACCCTCTGAGGTGAATTGAGATTGGTCCCCTGTAAGAATGGGGAGCCACCGAATGGGTTTTAATAAAATGATGTAAAATATTTTTAAAAGGAGAGAGTCTGTGTTAAATCACCACTGTTCATGACACACAGCCCTGACTCCCTGGTCAGTAGCAGTACATGTGGCAAAAAGGGGAAGAAATGAAGGAGTCCTGGGCCCCTTGGCCCTGGGGCTCTCACAGCCCGAGGATGTAAGATCCCCCAGTCAGCAGTTCAACGCAACCCCCCTTGCAACTGTTTCTCGGCATTCTCTCCATAAGTTTGTGTCAGGAAATGACATATTGTGTGAATATTCATAGCTTTCCCCCCTCCTTTCCTTGTAGAAGTTAGGTTGAATCAGCGTAATGGGCAAAGTTAAAAAACTAGAGGGAAATAAATAAATAAATACTGTTGAAATAATATTTACATTTTTTCCGAGAAAAATATACAGACCCTTTGAATAAAATTGTTTCTAAGATGGTTTCTGTTAAAAAAAAAAAAAAACTAGAGGGGATGACATGGGAAAGATGAGAGAATTACTGATGGGAAAACAAAACAAAAAAAGATGAACACAGGAGGTGAAAGGGAGAGGTGGAGAAAAGCCCAGAGGCTGGTTTGCCTGACCTCAAGGGCAGCTCCCACTGGTGTAGGGGAAGCAGTGGAGCAGCCTTTGAGGGTGAGATGAACAGGGAAAGACGCAAACTCAGTTTTTCTGGGTGACAATGATTTTCCACACTGCCTCAACATTTCCAGAGAGATTTTTAAATTAAAATGTTTCAAATTTTGAATTCTGAAACATATCTGGCCAAAAAGTTTTCAGATAAGAGATTGTGGACCTAGCACTAATTTCTGAAGGTGTGGCAAAGAGCTTTTTCTCTCATGGTACATAACGTGCTCTGCTCTGGATAATGTTAAAATGTGCTTACGAGATAGAGCTCTTAAACCAAATAATAAAAAGCTACCCCTATCAAAAGATTTTAATTACTTGTGATTTCTGTTTTGGACTATTTTTCTTTGAATGCAACTTCTTGCAGGAACGGAAACTCGAGGGATATAGTTTTTGTGGGTACCATATAGGGGATTAAGGCTGGAATAGAAGGACCACTACTACAGTGGGGTTCAATAGCATGGCTGAGGATGCAGTTCTGGAGCTTAGGTACAAAACGCTATCATGCAGAAGGCCAGTTCCAGGATGGCTTTTGTGACTGACTTCACCTAGACGTGCCCATCCTTCTGTATGTGGCACCTCTGCCACAGGAGGGAAGGAGCTAACAGTGGTCATCTGTTGAGAAGTTTCTCCATACTTAAGATTCTAAAGGAATATCGTTTATGGAGGGTCTATTCCACCAACTCTGCTAACTGCTAGCTGTGGGGTCTTGGGCAAGATATTTGACTGCTGTGGGCCTGTTTCCTCATCTGTGAACTGGGGATATTAACATTTGCCTCATAGAGTTGTTCTGAGGAATAGATATGTTAATACACATGAAGTGATTAGAACTGTGGCTAGTAATAAGGGCTCAATAAATGTTAGCTATTATTACCTTTTCCTTGATTATCATTAATACATTATTATGATTACATCTTCAGGTGTATCATCTAGTTTCATTCTAAACAATTGTGCAAAGTGGGAATTACTGTGATCTCCTCTTATAGGTAAGGAAAAGGAAAGCCAAGAAGGTGAGAGCTTTGAAAGGTTCCAGGCCAGATCTGACCTCAAAGCCTGTGCTACTCTCACTCTAGGACGCTGCCTACAGTTGAAGCCAGTTCTGTGGCTTCTCATCCTTTTGCACACACCTAATACAATGCTGCTCTTGAGGAAGAGAATCAGGATAGCGCTGAGGGGCGTGAGCCCGGCCCCACCTCAGGACTCTGCCGCTCCACCCCCTCCAGCGCCCCCGCAAGGCTGCAAGTGGTATTGCCACTGCTGCCCTCCGGGAAAGAGGGGTCTTTGGTGCCACACAGAAGAGGTTCATTTTTCCCCAGGGCAGCACCACCAGGCACAGCAGCTACCTGGAGTAATCTGGCAGGTCTGGGTAGCCACGGAGAACTTCATATTCCCCCTCTTTGCCACCGTCGCTGTGCATTCCCCTGTAGCCTAAGAAGAAGAAGAAAAAAGGACTAAAAAAAAGATTTATCTTAATCTTTCAGATGAAAGCCACCTAGTACTATTGCTAAATACGGCTTTCCTTTATAAAACCTTGTCAAGGGGTTCCCTGGTGGCACAGTGGTTGAGAGTCCGCCTGCCGGTGCAGGGGACGTGGGTTCGTGCCCCAGTCCGCGAGGATCCCACATTCTGCGGAGCGGCTGGGCCCGTGAGCCATGGCCGCTGAGCCTGCGCGTCCGGAGCTTGTGCTGCGCAACGGGAGAGGCCACAGCAGTGAGAGGCCCGCGTACCGCAAAACAAAACAAACAAAAAACAACCTTGTCGAGATTTTTTATGTTTTCTAGAAGAGTTTTGAGACACAAGAATGAATGTTTTGCAGCCTAATCATTATTTTATACAAGCCACTGATATTCGTGAAATATTGGAGGAAAGGCAGTTTAAATGGCGAGGTTTTAGAGTATGAACCTTTGTGGGTTTTTTTTTTGCGGTACGTGGGCCTCTTACTGTTGTGGCCTCTCCCGTTGCGGAGCACAGGCTCCGGACGCACAGGCTCAGCAGCCATGGCTCACGGGCCCAGCCACTCGACGGCATGTGGGATCTTCGCGGACCGGGGCACCAACCCGTGAACCCTGCATCGGCAGGCGGACTCTCAACCACTGCGCCACCAGGGAAGCCCTGAATCTTTGTTTTGAGCCCCAGAGATATTTCTGTTTCATCAAGATGCACACAGTGCCTGAGAACCAGCCTGCTAAACTGTCCTCTTGATTTACCTTTCAATTTCAGTGTTCAAACTGCATACAGGAAGCCAGGGTTTTGACATTGAAGAGGTGGCTCCCTGGACTGGGAGGAGAGTGGCTTGCTTCTCCCTCAATTACGGCCCAGCAAGAAGCTGTGCTGTGCCAGGGCAGGGTAGGCGTTAGGTTAAGACAGCCCTTGGTAAACTTGGCCGAGAAAACTGGAGGCTCGGAAACTGTCAACACACTCACAGCTTGTGCAGAGTCATTGTAGTCACAATCCTGCCAGGTTTTGTCACTTTGAACAGGACAGTTGCCCTCCTTGATTTGGTACTTGAAGGAATAAAACGTGTCAGGATCATCCTGAAAAACAGCAACCAAAGATACGTACGGTTCATCTAACTGACCCAACGGCAAATCATTTGAGTGGGATCTGGTGCAGTTATATTTGATCTTGATTTGATTCAATGAAGGCAAAAACATTTATTAAAAATATTGAAAGTTTATAAATATTTACTTGGAGTAATGTTCATAATATACTATTTACAAATATATATATATATTTAAATTTCAAAGTAGGTCCATAGTTTTAGCCCATTTTTGTATAAACCAATTTATATGTAAATATATATAAAATTTTCTTTTTAAGTCTGGAAAAGTACGCAGCAAAGCTGTTAAAATGTGTGTCTTTCCGTGGTGGGAGTACAGTTCTCTTTCACTTTCTTCTTTCAACAAACATTCCTGAATTGTCTATTTTTTGAACAAACATTATTTTTACAGTTAGAAAACAAACCAGAAGCCTTTTTTTCATTAAAAAAAAAGTAACAGTTATCTGGATAGTGGGAATAATTATGGGTAATTTTAGTATTTTTATGGGCATTGTTTTGTTTTCTATTTAGTATAGCATGACGTGAAATAATAAATTAAACTTTTAAAGTATAAAGGTGCTGATTTAGATGAGCCTTCAGATGCAATGTCCTGGTGTGTCAGAACAGCAAGGGACTTCAGAGGGGATGTTGTCCATCTTCTCAGTTTGCAGGTGAGAGAAAGGAGGCCCCAGGTAGATGGCGTATGCCTTAGGCAGCCTCCCCACCTTGGAAAGGCAGAGCCAGCTCCGGATGGCAGGTCTCCTGACTCACCAGGCAGTGCTCTCTCCACAGTGTTTGCATTTGGGAGATGATGGAATCAGACAAGATAGACTCTTCTGGTTCCTCCTAGGTCTCAGATTTTAATAAAACCTAAGTGGTCATGGTACAGGCAGTCCCCACACAGCAAGGTAGAGATAAAGAGTGATTCTATGGACATTTTAGAATAAAAAACCACATTTGCCATGGATGTCTGCCAATAAAGACTACAACCATACTAGAGAACACTAGGACTCACAGGACTGCACAAATTTGTGAAACAGAAAGGCCAGACTTTCAGAAGGCAAACAAACAAAAACATATCTACTGGGCTTTTTCCTTTTTCCTTATCATATCAAATACCTGGGGTTTTTTTCCACCAAAGTAATCAATTGCTTAACTATCACAGAAACACAATGTTTTATAATGAAATTCACTTAAACAAACTATTGAAAAGATTTGTAATTCTTGAAGTCACATACCCTGTCAGGGTTTGTCTCCATCCTGAGTGCATCGATCATTGATTTTAAAAAAGTGCTAAAAATCAAGTAGAACATGGCTGTTACCTTGATGCATTCAGCCATATGGACTTCAGGGTAGGTATTTTGTCCAATGCAGTTGAACCAAGTTAGTCTCATTTCTGACTCCTCTTAGACAAACCTTCCCTTTCCCCTAGCTTAATTGAGGTATAATTGACAAATAAAAATTGTATATATTTAAGGGGTACAATCTGATGAACTGAAACACATGTATATTGTGCAATGATTACCACAAACAAGCTAATTAACACACCCATCACCTCACACACTTATATTTTTGTGGTGAGAATACTTAAGATCTAGGCTTTCAACAAATTTCAAGTGTACAATAAAGTATTATTAGCTATAATCACCACACTCTACATTAGATCCTCAGGACGTATTCATCGCATAACTGAAAGTTTGCACCCTTTGACCAGCGTCTCCCCATTTCCCCACCTCCCAGTCCCTGGCAATCGCCGTTCTACTTTCTGTGTCTGTGAGTTTGAACTTTTAGACTCCACACATAAGTGAGATCATATCATACCTGTTAGATGTACCCCTTTAAGAACCCATTTCCCACCTGAGGTCTGGAGGTCTTCATATTGTTGTCTAGGACTGGTCACCCAGTAAATCCTGCTGCTGCAGCCTGACCGAGTTCCTGGATTCTCCCACTCTGCACAGTCCCTTTAAAATTTCTCCATCTACCTTTGTTTCATTTCACCCTAGGATATGCTGCTCTGATCACCCAGGAGGAGTCATACCTTTCCCTTCACCCCCAGGCCAGAGAATGGTGTTGGTCTTTCTAAGAGCTGTAAGCTTCCCTTCGATTATCAGTTCTTTGGTGATTGGGGTGCGTGTGTGGCGTGAGGCCTGGGCTCCAAGTGACAGCACAAATTCCCAATGACCTCAAGGTTAAACACAGCTCACTCACCGTCCTGATGACCTCAGTTACGCGGTACAATACAAATTGGTTGCCACTTTTGTTTCCACTGTTATATTTCTTCAGAGCAGTGTCCACAGCTTGAAATACATCCGGGTGGTTGCAGTCGATTTCTTGCGAGGAATCCTGGGTTAAACTTGGTAGCAGCCTGGAGCAAAGAAAAAGGATGGTGATTAATTTCATGATTTAAGTCTCCCTCTGGGAGTTTCACGAAGAATTGGGAGCCAATTAAGATGCTGATTTTAACTATCTTCAGCCTCTATTTCCTCCGGGCTCTCCTCTCCCTGCTGCCTCAGTGCTCTGGGGGCCTGGCTAATTCCTGCTGCCCTGCACTATTTGCTTATTCCAAAAGGACAAATGGCCCTGCTGGGTAATCCAAGCAGATTTCAGGCTGAAACATTACAACACTGGGGTTGTTGACCTGCTTGTTTGCATTTGGGGAGCATGTGGGAGCACAGAGCACATTTCCTGGTGATTGCACAACTTTGTCTAGCAAATCAGAGCAGACTCTAATGAAGGAAGAGAAAAAAACACCAACTACCTCTGTTATTCCCTTGTGACTTTCCCAAAGCCATTTATGAAGGTCACTGCAGGTGGCAACAATGCAACTGTAGATACAATGTGCAGACACCTTTCAATAAAATTGCTCTGCATGTTAACTTCTCTAGCTGCAGAGAAGCAAGCTGCCAGCAATCATATTGCGTGCCTGGGGAGCCCATGCACAGCGACATAGTAAGTGCTGGGGGTCCTACACCAGAATATTGGTGCAACTAAAAATAAAATATGGACATCCTTTCTGGTCTGTGTTCAAGCCAGCCTCTCTCCACTCACTTGCATTAGTTCTAGAAAGGAAAATGCTCCCCAGGGTGGAGGAGAGAGGGGAGAAGCATAAGAAGAGATGGGTTGGGTGAAGCCCTGCATCCCCAGGCCGTGCTTCTGGCTTGGTGTCTTTCACTACCAAGCCTCCGCCACCTGTCTGAGAAAGATGGGCTATTCGGGGAGAGGTGGTCTAAGACAAGGGCTAGCCCCTAGCAGAAGTTTGCCCTCAAGTCTTATCCCCTCCCTCACAAAAAAGGTGTTTGACTTCTCTGTTGTTGATAGGGTCTCTAGCTTGGCAATTCCGTCTTCCTGAGAGCCCTTGGAAAAGAGGGGTCAATGTGGGCTGAATGGCGGCCTTGTAGTGGAGTGGCAGGAACATTTCACTTGACAGTAATCCAACCTTGATTCCAATCTAGCTCTGCTCCTTAATTGCTCTGTGTTTCTGAGCAAGCCAGGGTCATATAACCTTTCTGAGCTTCAGTTTCCTCCTCTGTTAAATGTAGAATAGTATCTTCATGTTTTTTTTTTTTTTTTTGAGGAGTGAATGAATTAAGATATGTACAGGGCCTGGTAATTAGTTCTTATAAATTATAAACACATTTAGAGTGGGATGGTTAAGAATCCCTGATTTACTGAAGTGGTTTCAGGTGCATGGTGATAGCAGAAGGTAGATTCCAGTATGTGTGTGTATTGAGGCGGGGTCGGGGGTGGTGTAGGAAAAAAAAAGCTAGAGGTGAAAGAGACTTAGGTAAGTTCTTAGGCTGGGAAGAAGGAGAGATGTGCAAAGATGGAGATGCTGAAGCTGGGAGAGTGAGCTGAAGCTGGGAGAGTGAGTGGCTGAAGGTGCACGGTCCAGGAGGACTCGGAAAGGAATACGAGGCTGATCGTGGTGATGTTTCAAGTGAAGACTCAAAAACCGGACTTGGAGGAAGGTGCTCAACAGACACAAACGTTCAGTTATGAGATAAATAAGCACTAGGGCTATAATGCACATCATGGTGACTATATAGCTGACACTCCTGTGTGATATATAGGAAAGTCATTAAGAGTAGATCCTAAGGGTTCTCGTCGCAAGAAGAATTTTTTTTTAATTGTATCTATATGAGATGATGGATGTTAACTAAACCTACTGTGATCATCATTTCACATTTATGTATATCAAAGCATCATGCAGAACACAAACTTACACAGCGATGTATGTCAATTATTTCTCAATAAAACTGACAAAAAATTTAAAAACACAGGACTTGGCAGCGTATACAGGAAATATAATAAGTAGCAAAGAATGTGACTTTGGAGGAGGCTGATCTGGGTTGTAATCCCAGACCCACAATTTACTGACTGTAAGATCCTAAGAAAGGAATTAAACGTCTTTGGGCCTCATCTTTCTTCTCTAAAAAATAGTAATGGTGGCAACCCATTTTTCTTTCTTCCTTGGAATACAGCTAGACTTCATTTCCTGGAGCCACAGTGTTGATACTCTAAGTATTCAATAACTAATATGACGAAAGCACTGACCAATCAGACCAGATACAACAACCAGTCAGAAGAGTCACCAGCCATAGACAACTAGGGTGGCACCTGCTGAACGCCAGCCCTGCAGAATCACATTCCTCCACGAAGGCATGGACACAGGGAGTGGAAAAAGGTGAAATCCAGGAAGACCAAAAAAACACATAGCTTAATAACCCACAGAAGCATTTGAGCAGTGTTTTATAATTTTTATTAAGTCCTTTCACAAATATTGCTTGAGTTATTAAAACTACTTCCTGGAAAACATAGGATTGAATGCTCTCAATTCATTTAATTAAATGCATTCATGATATGCAAATAGTTGCTACAGGTGAATAATGGGGTAAGAAAGGATTCCTACTTACTTTAGGGACCTTACATTGTTCTAGAGGTTTAGACAATATACCACTGATTGCTCCTTTTCTAGATTTTTGTTGTTGTTGTCATATGATAGCTAAAAAGTATACGTATGCTTCTTTAATGTTTGTTATAATTAGTAAATTGTGGGACTTGGATTAGAACTCAGATCAGTGTCCTTCAAAGTCACTCTTTCCTATCAGTTATACACCTGTATACAGTGCCAAGTCCAGTTGTAACTGAACAGGACCCTTTGGGGCCTTCCCAGGACCAGACCCCCACCGCATGTCCTCTGCCTGCCTCTTGTTTGTAAAAAGGTTTTAGTCTCCTAGACCTTCCCTGAGTTCCACAGATTCAAACAGTTACTAACTAGGGAAGTGAGGGAATGCAGAGGAAGAAAAATCAAGTCCAACATAATCTTATCCATGACTGTTAGTTTAAACTAATGCCTTGATTTAAAAAAAGCCAAACTGTCCTGTGGCTTAAACCAGCTGGCTCCAAGCGGGCTTAAAATTGATGACCCTAGGAGGGTCAATTAAGAATCGAAACTCCTGAACCATCACGAAGGCTCTAAGAAATAATAAAATGCCTCCACCATCGCTGTTGCTCTCTCCTAGAAAGAAGTTAAGGGATCACAAGACCACCATTGACTAATTTGCTTTGCAGGAACACATAGATCCATCACAATCACCAAGAACACATCGAGTCACAAGATGGCGCCAGGATGTCTGCAACTGAGGTCTTATCAGGAAGCGAAAATCACAAAGATCCCCTCCCCTTTACTTTTTTGCCTTTCAGAACCTTGTACCCCGGCCAGCCAGGAAGATAAATTTGAGAAAAGTCCCATCTTCCACGCTGGCGCCTCCTCAACTAATAAACCTTTCTCTGATCCAAACTCTGACTTTTTTTTTTGGCTTCACAGTGTGTCAGGCACACAAACTTAGGTTCAAAAACACTGTTTTTGAGTTTTCACTTGAAACACCACCATGATCAGCCGTGTATTCCTTTCCAACTCGTGGACCGTGCACCTTCAGCCATCCCCTCACTCTCTCAGCTTCAGCTTCTCCATCTTTGCGTATTTCTCCTTCTTCCCAGTCTAAGAGCTTAGTTACTTTCACCCTTAGCTTTTTTTCCTACCCCACCCGCAGCCCTGCTGTTAGAATCTACCTCTGCCAACACCACACACCTGAAACTGCTTCACTAAGTCAGGTAGAGAGAATCTAAAGTCTTAGTAGCCTGTGTCTGTGCTTGAGACTTGATTTGGGAAGAAGGAGAAAGAAAGAGGATCCAAGTGTGAGAAAGGAGTCTTTTGAGCAAAAACGAATAAAGAGAAGTTATCTGAGACTAGAGTGTCCCTAGCCTGGGGAGAAGAGAAGAGAAGAACAGAGGACTTGTGAAGCAGAGGACACCTCTGTCCTGCTTTCTGGGGCTGTAGCTTGGAGGCAGCAAGATCTCAGGGAGAGACCAGCCATATGGTGTCTCTTGGCAGTCATGTCCATTAGCATCTTACGGAGACTCCTATATCCCAGTTTGGTACAGAAGAAGCAGATAAACGAGACCTAGAGAGAGATGTGAACAGGGTAGTAAGCATCCCTCAGCCGGGGGACCTGGTGGATTAGTGATGAAGAATCAGACCTCTGGGCTTCCCTGGTGGTGCAGTGGTTGAGAGTCCGCCTGCCGATGCAGGGGACACGGGTTTGTGCCCCGGTCCGGGAAGATCCCACATGCCGCGGAGCGGCTGGGCCCGTGAGCCATGGCCGCTGAGCCTGCGCGTCCGGAGCCTGTGCTCCGCAACGGGAGAGGCCACAACAGTGAGAGGCCCACGTACCGCAAAAAAAAAAAAAAAAAAAAAAAAAAAAAAAAGAATCAGACCTCCTTCTCATGCCCACCACCCAAACACCTTGGCACTATGAGAGTAAAACGCGGCACCACTTCGTGTGGGAAGTAGCGGGAACTCCAAGAAGGACTGAGGTTAAATTTCCCATTAGCTCAGTTAGGACATCAACCTGAAATCGAAATTAATTTGTTCCAAAAAACAAATGGGCTGGAAAAAACAAGTGGAAGAGAATTTGGGTCCCTTTTATAAGAATAATCCTTTAAGTGAGAATACATTCCTTCTTGGTAGGCCCAACCTCAGCATAAGTACTAGTAGAGAAAAGACGCTAGAATTAAAGGAGTTAAGTTCAGGAAGAAAGAAATTCTGAGGATCAGAGATTTGCCTCAAGTGATGTAATAGGCAGTGATGGACTTAACTTCTAATCTGTAGTGCTGAGATCTTTCCTCTCCTTTCCAGTTGTCTCCCTCTTCTCATGCCATTTCCACCCCCACTCACATTTTTCCCGATGCTGAGTATGAATATAAGGTTAAAATAACTTGTCATTTTGCATTTATTACTGGTCACATTTTATTTATGTTTCTAATCTAGGACATGATTCATTTTTCCCATCAAGGAAATCAGATTTTACTTATTTTTTTATTATTACTTTTTTAAAATTTATTTTTGGCTATGTCGGGTCTTCGTTGCTGCGTGCGGGCTTTCTCTAGTTGAGGCAAGCAGGGGCTTCTCATTGTGGTGGCTTTTCTTGTTGTGGAGCACGGCCTCTAGGCACGTGGGCTTCAGTAGTTGTGGCCTGCGTGCTAAGTAGTTGTGGTACACAGGCTTAGTTGCTCCATGGCATGTGGGATCTTCCCGGACCAGGGATCGAACCCATGTACCCTGCATTGGCAGGTAGATTCTTAACCACTGTGACACCAGGGAAGTTTGGAAATCAGATTTTATTTTAGAACTGTATATGCAAAAAAACTTTGAGATTTGTAGAAACTCATTCTTGAATTCTCCTGGACATGATCCAGAGGCTGATTGGGGGAAGGCCTGAATCTCTGGCTGTAGGGGATTATTGTGGTTTGGCAATGAGAAGCTGGGAAAATTGGCTTCGGGAAGAGGGAGAACTTCACCTTTCTTTAGTGGAGGGAGTCAGTGAACATATTCAATTTGTCTCCAATGGAAGGTCCTTTACCTGGACCTCTTTCTTCTGAGTGCCTAGGTGGTGGGCCATGGCCTCGGCGATGGTGGTCTTGGGGACCTTGGCTATGGGGTGGTGGGGCACAGGGTCCATGGTCGTAGAAATCATGGCCATGGGGATGGTGTCCATGGGGATGGTGACTGTGAGGACAATGTGTGTGTGGATAGCACTCACCTGAACTATGATTATGAGGGGGCCCATGGGTCCCACTGGTGTCAAAATGAGGGTGATGGCATCTTGACCCTGGAGGGGGCAATGGTAGAGGAACTCCTACTCAAAATGGTGGACTGTCTGAGTAATTTTTGTCTTCTAGGGGAGGTGGGCATCTAAAGGTATGTGACTCGTGGGGATTATGGTGATCTCTAGATCCATTGGGCTTAAATGGAGTCCTGCCAGCAGGAGAATGCTCACCAGAGTGGAGGGCATGGCCCAAACGCTGCTTCACACCACTTCACACCAGGAACGATGTATGTTCCTGGTGAAGGACACAGAAGAGTGAATATCATCCTGTAACACAAAAGAAGTTAGATGTTTAATTTAATTTACACCAATGGTTTCCAGACTTTTGGATTTCACAACTAATTTTAAAAATAGGAGACCCAAAAAAATGGTTCCTCGAATTCTTATCTAGCCAACTTGGCATTTAAAATATGAACAAAACTATCATCTACCACCATTATTATTTCACAATAGGAATAATACTTTGATAACACGAGTCAGAAAGTTAATCTCAGAGTAAAGGATACTCCTTTTGATGGAATAAATGTTGTATTATGAAAACTTTCCTTATTATTATTCTTCTCATTTCAACATAATCTGGTGAAATTATATTATAAAATGATACTCATCTATAGATCAACCTTTGGGAAACTAGTGCTTTGTAATTTATATTCTCAAGAGTTGAGGCTTTATGGTACAAACTTCTCCTACTCCTAAAGGATGAGCACTTACCTCTTTGCACTTGTGGAGCCGTGTTCATGGTGACAAGCCTGCCCCCTCCATTTTGGGGGTGAGGGTTGGTACATGGACATTTGGATTATACTCAGGGTTTTTTTTTGTGTGTTTATTTTTGCTGATGTAAAAAATACTGTGAAGAATATCTTTGTATAGAACAAAACTTTCTGGGACATATGTAAAATATTGTTTTGAATCTTATTTCATATACCTTTATATAGTAAATTTTAGGCTAATTCATTCCTCTTAGGTTCTATGCCTAATAATAAAAGCTAGGAATTATTAAGTGTCAGCAGTGGAATCCTGACTACAAGGACCACTTTCAAATTCATTAGAGGTTGATTGAATTGATCATGATTTTACTTTTCTGGCAAATCTTACCCTCAATTCTTGGGGAAAAATTCATACTTTTTGTGTCATATCAACAATTGTACTTTCCCAGGGGCCTATTTTCTCTGTATTTCTCCTCCCCCCCATCTCTCATCCATCATCTCTCTCTCTCTCCCTCTCCCTATTCTCTCTGTCTCTGTCTCTGTCTCTCTCTCTCTCACACACACACAATACACACCAACAGCCATAAGAACAAAATACACTATATGTGTGAAAATATCACTTAGTTTGGCACTGCTCATGACAAAGGCTACTTAAGCAACCCACCTTAAGATTGAAAACTTCACAGTTTATGACAATGTCTTTTGGGGTTTCCAAGTCAGAGTCTTCTACATCATAGGACAAATCTGCTCTGCAGAATCCAAAGATCTATAAAGAAGAGATAAACCTGTTAGTGTCTGTGTATGTGTATTTGAGTGTGTGTGTGCAGGTGGTATGAAGGTGCCCAGCTCTTGTTGTGAACTTCCAGACATTTGGGAAAGGAAAACAGGCTTTCGAAAAATCAGGGTAATATTATCAAATATCTCCATCAGCTATTTAACCATTTTTCCTAGTCAACACTTCAGGGAAAGTGTACGTTCTGAAGGGTTTCATTCCAAGTTGCAGTGGTTCCCTTCCATGAGTGGTCCCCCGCGCTGGGCTTCCCCATGGGCTGTAGGAGGAACTCTGCATCATTGATACCTTGCCTTTAGCCCAATCTTCTGCAAGAAGACCTGAGTTGCCTGTGTCTAGAAAGAGTGAAGAGTGGTGCAGAAGAGGGATTTGCACAACCTAAACCGGGCCCTTGGAAGAAAATGTTGGGAAGAAGGGAGCCAGTATAAAAGTGGGTTTGCACAGACCCTGTCAAAGTGACTGTCTGCTGGCCCTACCCTAGGTACCGAGGCTACAATTGGTTGGCACCGCTATGCCCCAGAGGCCCCAATACCCAGCTGTCAACGTTAGACTAGGACAAGAAGAAAACTCTTTTTTTAGAAGAGACTGTTAAGCATTGAGGATCTGAGGACAGTTTTGGAGTCAAACAGACCTATGTTAATCTTGGCTTTGCCATTTACTGGTTGTGAGTTTAAGCAAGTTACATAAAATTTCTGGATTTGTCTTTGTAAAGTGAGCACAATGCTAACTATCCACACGTTGTGGGAAGGCTTAATTAAATGAGATAATATGCTGGAAAACACTTAGCACTGAGCTCCTCTTCTCCAGCTGCCATGTTTCTCTACTGGGTTTGCATTACCTACACCAAGATAGGGGTTTGTTGGGGATGGAAATGGAGGAGGTGGGGTGTCTTTCCTGGTAGCTATTAAGCAGGATTCTAGAACTGCTTGAGGTTGAAAAGTTGAACAGTGAGAGAAGGAACGAATGAATGCCTCCTTTCTTTCCGTCCTGGAGAATGTGTTATTAAACCTCAGAAAATTCCTGGACTTGAAATCAAAAGGCCACCATTAACATCCTGTGTCCTAACACTCTCTAGCTAAGTGCCCTTAGGCAAGTGTTTAAACTTCTAGACCATCTTGTTCCAGGGAAATGGAGGCAAACACTTGCTTCTCCTCAGAGGGCTTGTCACAGGGCTCCAACGAGGCAATAACGTGGGTGCTTTGTAAACTGTAAGTCACCATACAAATGCTGAGTGTTATTAAGGAGATCTTCCTGCAGGTACCTGAGTATCAAAGTATAAGTGACTAGGGGAGCAATCCCATCGATTGAGCAACCGGAGGACTGGATTCTAACCTCAGCTCAGCTGTGAACATCAGGCAGGGAGGGAGACGCAAGAGGGAAGAGATATGGGAAGATATGTATATGTATAACTGATTCACTTTGTTATAAAGCAGAAACTAACACACCTCCCTCTGTTGAGCCTCAGTTACCTCCTCGTTTGTCAAATGGGGTCACTGAGTGGAGTAAACGAGGTGAAGTGAGTGAAAGCACCCTTGGGTGTCAGCTCTTAATACAAGCAAGTTATTAGTTTTAGCTAAGTCTTTAATCCTAATGGGTAAAGAACCTGGTGTTGAGGTATATAGCATATATAATTCTATAATATACATGATACTCTCACGATTCACTTAACTTCTCTGTGCCTCAGTTTCCCCATCTGTAAATCGGGAATAAAAATAGTACCTCCTTCATAGGGTGGTGGTGGGTTAATAAGGTCACATATGTAAAGCACTTAGAAAGTTGCCTGGCCCATAGTAAGTGGTCTCTAAATGTTACCTAGTATTTCACAGAGGCTGATTATACTCACACGAGAGTGCCTGGGAAAGTGGTGACTGGAGCAGTTCCTCACAGAGAAGTCCAGGTAGTAATTGGTTCTTTCCCCTCCTCTCTAGAACAAGTTGAATCCAAGCAGTTTCGGGACGTAAAAAGCAAAAAAGGCAGTGGATACCTACGATCCAATATTCAATATAGCACTATGAGGATTCAAAAGCCCCAATATGTGCCATTTTTCTGATGGTCTCTGCCTGTAAAATATTTATCACATAAGTGATAAGGTGAATACTATTTCATTGAAACGTTCAACTAACACAGACGTAATCGAGCACAGTGTGAAAAATCACCCTTCCTGCACCCCAGCCTCCCTTTCTCCGAGGTACCATTATCATCCACTTGATGAGTTTTTCCTTCAAGCCTTTTCCTAAATATGTTGCACATATACGCATATATCTAATTATTTAACATAAATAGGATCATATTCTAAGTATTGTTCTGTAACCTGTTTTTTCCATTAGCAATGTATCTTGAAACACTTTCCAGGGCATATCCATCCAAACCGTTGTTTTTAGTAATTACGTTGTATTCATTCCATTGCTTGGATGCACCGTAATCTATTTAACTTCGCATTTTCAAAATGCACAACAGACATCAACTAGCTGCTCGACAAGACCCCTCTGGGTGGGAAGCACTTAGGTCCCTGGACTGGGAGGCAGAACTGCCCCACTCGAGCCACACCACTGGGTGTGGTGAGATAGGCACTCTGAGCCTCGGTCTTCCATTGTAATAGAAGGAGGTTAGGACCTGATGATTTTAATGACTCGCATCATCTTATTATGCTCTTTCTTCTGTCTTTCCCTCTTCCTTGTTTGGGTTTTCCCTTTTCTCTGTTAGATATTCAGATACACACACCCCAACTCCAAAGTCTAAAGAACTGAAGGAGGGCAGTTCTATGGTATCTGCTGCCTCTCTGCTGAGGCTGCAACAGAAGTCTCAAGGTAAAAGGCAGCTGGCCGAGCGAGGCCAGCGGAGAGGAACAGTGCTGCTGAGTTTGCACCTGCCAGGGTGGAGCCTGGGCCCTCAAACTCTAGCTAAACGTTAGTGGTGATTCACAACTCTTGCAACCCTCTTCACTTTGTCCACTCTGAAAGAAGCAAAGTCACCATTCTCCTTTTTGTACTTCTCCAGGGCTTTGTCAGCTTGTTTTCTGTAGAGCTCTGTATCCGCAAAGAAATTTGAGAGTACTGGGCTGTCTTTAGTATTGACCAGTGCCGAAGAGACTAGAGAAAGCAGTTGGCAGCTTTGTGGTTACTGGGTTACAATGTCAATGCTAGGACTTAACACATATAAGCATGGCAGCAAGAATAACAATAGCTTCCAATTTATAGATGGACAAATTGAGGGTTGGGGAGGCTAAGTAACTTGTCTAAGATCAAATCAGCCAATCAGCAGCCACGTCTCTTAAACCCAGATCCTTCCGATGCTCAAGTCTCTGTTGTGACCCTTATTCACGATGCCCCCACCCCCATCACTCATAAAACGCTAATATATATATTTTGCGGTACGCGGGTCTCTCACTGTTGTGGCCTCTCCCGTTGCGGAGCACAGGCTCCGGACGCGCAGGCTCAGCGGCCATGGCTCACGGGCCCAGCCGCTCCGCGGCATGTGGGATCTTCCCGGACCGGGGCATGAACCCGTGTCCCCTGCATAGGCAGACAGACTCTCAACCACTGCGCCACCAGGGAAGCCCTAGAACGATAATATTTTAATGACCTCTTCCTGTCTCTGCCAACGAGAGAGAGGCATCGTTAACAGAGAGAGGAGAAGGTACAGCTCAATCTTTCTTTAAGGCAACCTCCTGGGGGAGTTGCTTGACTATTGAATTTTTATATGTTGAAACATGTTAAGATTAATTATTTTAAAAGAAGTTCTGTGATAATTCTTTTTGAAAAAGTGAATTAAAAGAGCATGGAATTTGGAGTCAACACCGGTGGTAAAGGGTCCTGACTTTGCCACACTTTGGCTGTGTTCCCCGGGCAGGTCATTGAATCTCTTTGAGGCTCAGTTATTTTATCTCTAAAATAGAAAGGATCATAATCTTTACTTCATAGTCTTGTTGTGAGATTAAAGGAGATAATATATCCTTTGTATGACTGCTTTGTGAACATACATAACTTTCAGATGTTGATGGCAATACTCGAGTGCTAAGTACTTTGCAAAGTGTACTACACAGACAATTTTATTTAATTCTGAGAAGGAACCAAAGGGATAGTATTATTGTTATCCTCATTTTACAAAGGAGGAAAGCTTGAAGTGGTTAAGTAACTTGCCCTCAAGACCACACAACTGGTAAGTGATAAGGCTGGGATTTAAACTCAAACAAATCTGACCCCAGAGCTTATGTTCTCTACGATGATTCCATACAGCCTCTTGTAAATTTCTATTTTTATATGTTGAATTTATTTAAAAGAAGGTGTGCCAGTAATAGGAAAACCCCTCTCTCTTCTCTTCTCAGGAGAGCAAGTAATAATACGTCCACAAGGGCAGGAACCATTTCTGATATGTACTTCATAGTCTTATATGATGATACCACTGTAAGATTGAATTTTGTATTAATTAGAATTAATTAGCATTTTAACAGATGATCATAGCAGAACTTGTGGTGCAGTTAAAGTCATTCACTCTAAGATTCTGAGACCCATCCGAAAGTGTTATAGCTATCACCTTACGTTGTCCAATCACCTGCAAGAAAGAGGGGTTTATATTATTGCCTACTGCTTTCCTCAGGTTGACACGAGGGAACAAAAAAGTGAGGCAACATACTCCTACTAACCATTTGAAATTTGTCTGTGCTTTCTCTCACCAAACCCTCTCTCAAAAACCTGTATTTTCTTAGCATATTTCTGTGATCTGGATGCTATAAGCATCCAAAACCCTCATGAGAACCACGGAGAAACTGTTGAAACAGATCATGGCCATACCCCAAATATTTGCAAGGGGAAAAAAATGCTAAAACCCCTGGGCATGTAAACATCTTATTTTCTGGAGTTGAAATCTTATATCTGTGCTCTTTCATCTTTGTGTCCTCCTCCTGTGGCAGGGAGCCTGGGCTCTGAGTACCCGCGTGCAACGTGCAGAACAAGACCCTATTCCTCATGGTGACTGCAACTAATCCCTTTGGCCATTTCTGTTAGTGGGACCAGTATTCATAGGACACGGTTACAAGTTCATACGTTCTTAGACGTTAGGTGATTTGCTCAAGGCCTTACAGCTGGTCATGCTATCACATGGGACCACAAGCCCCACTGACTTTTCTTGAACTGGGTTCCAGGGTGTAGCTCTCAAGAAAATATTACTCAAGGTCAACACAGTCTTCATGAGCCAAGAGGCAGAAGCTGCTCTTACTCTTTTACAGTGTTAGCCCAGGTATGCAGCCACCCTGGGCAAGCACAATAGACAGAAGTCAAGAACGCTAAGAGGAGAGGAATGGAACCGTGTTTACTTACGATTTCAGATGGACGAATAGAAACAGCTTGGCTCACCGTCAGCCCAGTGTTTCCTGGATAGGACTGAACAGTCAGATTCTTTCACATCCAAGACTAAATACTAGACAGCTGTGGATCCCTGGGGAATACCAAGAAAGCAATGGGTGGGTAGCATGTGGGAGCCCAGAGTTTTCTTCAAAAAAAAACCCAATCTTTTTATTTCCTAAATAGAATTCCTGCTCCTCTCCAAGTCATCGCAGATGTCCTACCTTCGCGTCATTTGATCTATTTATTTAATAAAACGCTTCAGAGAGTTACTTCTGAATGCTATTTTTAACTGGTCACAATGTTGCTTCTGCCCTTGAACTTTCAAAAGCAATCACTAAAAAGCAGTGTTGGTTTGAATGGAGGTGTTGAAGGTACAAGCCTAGAATATAAGTGCTGACAGTCACATCACGGCCTCCAATCTGTATATGCAGTCGCGTCCTCTCATCCAGCTCTATTCCTGAACTTGGATTTCTTGTCTTTTTTTGAAAATATAGATTGACTTTTTTCCCTTTTGGCTGCACTGCGTGGCTTGCAGGATCCTAGTTCCCTGACCAGGGAATCAAACCTGTGCCCCCTGCAGTGGAAGCACAGAGTCTTAACCACTGGACCGCCAGGGAAGTCTCAGATTTCTTGTCTTGATTTCAACTTGCCCAAAGCTAAATTCAGTCTCTTCTCTTACAAACCAGCTCCCTCTCTCAACTTCTTTTGTCTGGTCACTGGCACCATTAATCATTTATTGCCTTAGTCTTTGTCTTAAAGAATGTCCTGTCCTCAAGGCTTTAATGGTCTTTCTTTGAAACATCTCATGTCTTTTCTTTACTCTCATTGCCCTAATTCCCACTGCCTGGGGCTGCTCCTCATGTCGTCATTCCTGAACCAGCTCCTAGTTGTGTCCCTGCTCCGGCCCCTATCTTCCCAGGTACAGGGAGATCCGCCCCCCCACCCCCACCCCTTCCCCACTGCCACTCAGAGGTCGCACTGTGCTGATTCATCCTGTGTCCTATGATTCATCCTGTGTCCTACACATGTGGCAGAGAGCCTGGAAGGGGGCGGCTGGTCATCAGATTGCTAGTGGAATCCTAAATCCCTCCACTCTCGTTCTCTGTAACCTTTAGGGCCTTGGTTTCTAACACTGTAACAAGTATAAATATCTCTGCTTGTCCTCTTTGGTGCCCCATGGTCTCGCCTCCCTGATTTCAGTGGTTCCACCAAAGGGTAGGTTATTTCTGGGGTGGTGCTGGAGAAGCAGGACTGCCTCCGTAATCTCTATCAAGCCCTCAAATGCACTCCGAATAAACATATAACCTAAATGAAAACAGTAGGCTTGCTTTCTTCAAGCCTACGGTCTCTCTTCCAAGGTGATGACTGCTCCAAAGCCCACAGAGAACTGCTGGAACCCCTCTGCTTTTGCTCCGCTTCTCCCTAACACCTTCCTTCCTGATTCCCTACCCACATAGAGGTGGTATGGCTGGCATTCTCCTGGAAGGCCATTACACAAGCCACCGTCCTATTCAAATCCTCCTCACCCTTCAGGACGCAAAGGAAGCCTTCTCCCATCCCATCGAAATAGTCCTTTTATGAGATCACTCCTGCATCTATACCACTCACTTGGTCACTTGAATATACCCCATCTTATGCAGTTCACATATGTGTGCATGTGAGCTGATTATTATTTCTTTGAGAGCAAGTCCCACAGTTTATTCTAATCTTTCTCTTACAGTACTGAGCCTTTGACTGGGCTCTGCATAAGTGTTTACAAGTACTTACAGGCTGTTTCATAGTTAAGGACATACTAGTAACAAACATTCATCTGAAGGAAAAAAGAACAGTCACAGCAGCCCACAGATGAAACAGAAAACCCTGCCCAAAGCCAATCCACTGTGCAAAGCAGCAGGCTTAGGGGCTAGAGTCTCAGTTGCCCGTGGTACATCATCTCCCCACTCAGCTCTGCTATGGGCAGCGCCACAGCATTTTGTCCAAGTGGACATCAGCGACCCACAGCAACTGGAAAAGGTAGCCATCCCACCGTCCTTTATTGATCAGGTCTAGAGCTTTCCCAGCCACGGGCTCAGCAGCATCACAGCCTGTGGGACTCACAGCACAGGAATGCTGCAGTGGGATCAAAAGGATGAAAAACAGTGCTGCAGTGAGTAACTTCATTTTGTTAAAATGTGAAAACCATTCTTTGCTCTGGGATACCACAGCAGAGAAGTTTATACAGATTTTCTAAAACACACACACATACACACACGATTGATTCAACAAAGTCTTTATCCGTTTTTGTTATGTAACTGGGTATGTTCACCTTGACCCCTGGTTCACATATCAGTCAACACGCTGTAAATGATTAGTGGGTCCTGGGGACAGAAAGTTGAAACATGTCACCAGTGAGTGGGTGAAACTGTGATCTGCACAAATCTGGTTATTACTAGTAGGTAGCAGATCCAAAGTGTGTTTTTGGCCGTAAGCACTGCCTGCATTGGTATAGGAGGTGGAGTCAGAAATAATTTTCCTCCATCTGCCAGCCAGAAATCTCCGCCATCAGTCCCTTCTTTGGATTGGGGCACTGAAAGTCCTCAGTAGAATGTAGCTGCATTATTGAAGGGAGGAGACATGTGAAATGGTTAACACCATAAAAGGAAGACAGTTCAGGTAGAGGAGAAGGATTAAGAGGCTGTCGGTTTGAAGTCAGATCTGAATTTCAACCCTGGGCCTGTTACTCTCTTACTGTGTGATGCTGGGTAAGCTATAAAACTTCTCTGATCCTTAGTTTCCTCGTTTATAAAATAGGGTTTAAAAATCTCTCGGCAGGCTTGTGTGATGATTAAATAAGAAAACATGCATAAAAAGTCACCAATACAATTCTTAGCACAGATCCAGGTGCTGAATACATAATGCTATTTTATTACTATAATTAGTGTGACTGGGAAGAAGTTGGGGGCACACTCATGTCATTCCAGTTCTTTGTGACCCTTAAAGTATGCTAAAGAGAATTAGTTCATGTGGAAGAGGATGGTGGTGAGGGTAGAAGTCAAGCCATTCTATGCCCATTCCAGAGAAGGGGTTAGAGGGACTAGACCATTGGGGGAGGGGCTCAGCACTGGAGGACAGGGCTGGGATTAAGCTGCTTCCCCCCACCCTCACTCCTCCTAAAAAGTCAGTATTGGCTTCCCTGGTGGCGCAGTGGTTGAGAATCTGCCTGCCAAAGCAGGGGACACGGGTTCGAGCCCTGGTCTGGGAGGATCCCACATGCCGCGGAGTAACTAGGCTGGTGAGCCACAACTACTGAGCCTGCGCGTCTGGACCCTGTGCTCCACAAAAAGAGAGGCCGCGATAGTAAGAGGTCCGCGCACCGCGATGAAGAGTGGCCTCCACTTTCCGCAACTAGAGAAAGCCCTTGCACAGAAACGAAGACCCGACACAGCCAAAAATAAATATAAAAATAAATAAATGAATAAAATAGTTATCTATTAAAAAAAAATAAGTCAATATACCTGCAGGGATCCCTCATGCCAGCAGAGACCAGCGGCGTCAGAAAGGACCAGAGAGGGCTTCCCTGGTGGCGCAGTGGTTGAGTCTGCCTGTCGATGCAGGGGACACGGGTTCGTGCCCCGGTCCGGGAAGATCCCACATGCCGCGGAGCGGCTGGGCCCGTGAGCCATGGCCGCTGAGCCTGCGCATCCGGAGCCTGTGCTCTGCAACGGGAGAGGCCACAGCAGTAAGGGGCCTGCGTACCGCAAAAAAAAAAAAAAAAAAAAAAGGACCAGAGGGAGTCAGCCCAGCTTGCTTCCCCACTACCAGGGACTTAAACGGCATCTGCCTTCCTCCCCACTCTCTTCTCTGCGGTGAGTCACCCGAGATGCTTTTCAGAATCCTTACTTCCAGGCCTCCCTCAGAGCAATTAAATCAGGATCTCTGGAGATGGGTCCAGGTGTTGGGAGTTCTTCCAATGTGCAGCCAAGGCTGGGAACTGGTGAAGCTCTAGACAGAACCTGCATGGAGGGAAAGAGTTTGAAGAGAGAAGCAATGGGGACGGGGGTATGGAAAGCAGACCTCACTTCCCAGAGTCACAGGTTGGTTTAGCAAGTGTTAAAAGGGGAAGAAACCCATTTCGGATTATATTTGAGATTGAACTTTTAATATTAGTAACACTAGCTTTTAAATATCCAAACAGGACAGCTTCAGTGTAGTTTAGAATGACAGGATTAGTATGGAATCTGGCCAAGATGTTACTAAGCGGCTCCAACCCAGGGTTGGAGGTGGAGAAAGCCATTAATTAGAACAAAACCGTTTTATGTTTCAATAAGTTGAGCTCCTTCATGAGGCTTTTCTATTATTGCTACACTGGTCACACCCAATATGGAGCGCCCTGGGTGAGCTAAATGCTGGTGGAGGGAAAGAGATGGGAACGCTGAGCGGATGGGAAAGGGCACCGAGGGTGAGAATCAGCTTTTCCTACATACTCTTGTGCTGAGACCTAGGGGTAGTCACTAGAGCCATGAATTCCCTTCCGCTCACTTTATTGAACCTGAAAGACACATACAGTGCTAGTGATGCGTTGTGTTTCTTGCTAGACCCTGATTGAAATAGGGCCATAGCCACCACATAATACCCCTACTTAGTCATTTTTCCTTCTTAAAGGAGGCAGGTAAGAGTAATAGAGTGTGAATATTGTCTATTGCTCTTAAACAAATTATGCCAAGCCCTATGTGCCTCTTCTGAGAAACAGCTGCCAGGAGAGAGGACAAGAGTTACATCTGTACATTCCCTGTTGTATGAGTTTGCTAGGGCTTCCAGAACACAGTACCACAAACTGTGTGGCTTAAACAACAAGTTAATCTCTCACAATTCTAGAGGCTAGAAGTCCAAGATCAAGGTGTCAGAGGAGTGGTTTCTACTGAGGCATCTCTCCTTGGCTTGTAGATGGCCATCATCTCTCTCTGTCCCCACGCGGTCTTCCCTCTATACTCATCTGTATCCTAATCTCCTCTTCTTATAAGGACACCTGTCATAGTGAATTAGGACCCACCCTAATGACTTCATTTTAATCTAATTAGCTCTTTAAAGACCCTATCTCCAAATACAATCACATTCTGAGGTACTGGGGGTTAGGACTTCAGTATATGAATTTTGAGGGACACAATGCAGCCCACAACACCTGTCCAACTTCAAAAGATATGTGTATATGTAAATGTCTGCAGACATATATGTGCATGTGTCTATATATTATACATATACACACATATAATATTATATTTTTATATTACGTAATTTTTTAAGTGAAAAAATTGGGAATAAATATAATCTGGGCCCTTAACTTCTCCTCTGGGAAACAACTTTTAAAGGAATCAGAAAGTTCCCCAACTTGGACCATGTTTGGTTCTCTCCAGGATTAACCACAGGCCACAGGTAAATGTCACTTTCACCTACCCCATTGCTAACTGAGTCTATCAACTCACTTGGGACTTGGAGAGTATTCAGACAGGTTAAAAAAAAAAAATTCCACCTTCAGGCTGAAGGTTGTGCAGACAATATCTGACCGATACTTGGTGTTGAAATAATTATGGAATAAGGGGAGAGTGAAACTCTGATGAATCCCAGTCTCTTGATATCCCTCAATTTTCATCTTATTTGATCAAAAGAATCACAGTATGCTTTTGCCCAGTGTAAATAATTAACAGAAACCTCAATTACATAGAAGTTGGGAGACCAGAAGGGGGAGCAGTCACGCTCTGTGACAGTAGCAGAGCTCAATAGGAAGAAGAGAGACTTCTTTCGTGGCAACAGCTCAGCCAATGGAAAGCCATGGGCTCTGTTTACTACAGCCCTCCCAACTTCCTTTTCCTCTTTATAAGAGTTTTCCTTCCCTTGTTGTTTGGGGACTTCGCTGTGGCTCACCATAGTTGCAGGCCCCAAATTGCAATTCTCTGCTGATCCCAAATAAACCCATCTCTGCGGTAGAAATATCTGGCAATCTATTTGTTTCGGGTCAACATTTTGGTGGCCTGTACAGGGACCAGAGAAGACACCCAACAGCTCCAGGGGTGGTGAGCAAACAGGTGTGGTATCCACAGTTGAGCCCATTGCTCCTCATTGCTTTTCCAACCCCGGAGTTTGAAGGTGTAGCTTTCTCCTGGATCCGAGCTCGCACCCTCTTTGCTTTTGAAGCTCCAGGCTTTATTCAGTATCTATTTGAAGGTTTCCTCTTTCTCCTTAAGGCCTTGTTCTGTATGTGAAATTGGCACTTCTGTCTGATTTGAGATCAGACTGTTTCACTGAAACTGGCTAACCTTCAGCCTATTCCTTTTGGAACAAAGGCTGCTTCTCCTGAAGCTGGATACCCTTTGACTCATTCCTTCGGGAACAGGGGAATTTTTTTCTGAATCAGTGCCGAGTTTTTCAGCCTTTTGCCTTTTCCTTTGGAATGGCTGTCTTCTGGAGACTGGCTTTAAAAAGCCTTTGGTCTAGATCCTTCAGGACAAAGCTATCTCCTTAAGACTGGCTGGGATTGGCTTGCAAGCTATTTGAATTGAGCCATTTGTTCTGTAAGCTATTTGAGCTGTTTGAAAATTGTTCTTTACCCTAGAGAAAAACCTCTAAGAAATGGGCTCCCAGTTATCTAAGTATTTTGAGGGTGCCCTCACTACAGGGATTCCAGATGATTTTATGTCTAAACACCAGGGTCCTTCCTCATGTTCATTTCTAACTAAATAAACGGACTTGAACAAACTCAATTTAGAGTACCAATGGCCATTGTGGGGAACTTTTGAAATTCACAAAATTTAATTTCCTTAAAACTGAACTGGTCTTCCCTGGTAGCACAGTGGTTAAGAATCCACCTGCCAATGCTGGGAACATGGGTTCGAGCCCTGGTCCGGGAAGATCCCACATGCCGCGGAGCAACTAAGCCCGTGCACCACAACTACTGATCCCGCGTGCCACAGCTGCTGAAGCCCACAAGCCTAGAGCCCGTGCTCCGCATGAAGAGAAGCCACAACAATGAGAAGCCCTCATATCGCAACAAAGAGTAGCCCCCACTTGCCTCAACTAGAGAAAGCCCGTGCACAGCAACAAAGACGCAACGCAGCCAAAACCAAAAACCAAAAAAATCCAAACTGGACTACAATAGGTCAAAAATTTCCAGAACTGAGTGGAATGCT